TTCGGCCCGTCAAGCTCGTTTGGGGAGAACTTAACTAATAGCTCAGAGTTGTTAAAATCTTATCTAGCTCTGATTTGAAGGAACCCAGGATTTTAGCTTCCGCTACACTAGCAGGAAGACTATTCCATACCCTAACTACACGCTGTGTAAAGAAGTGTTTTCTTAAATTCTGTTTAAAATGTTCTCCTGCTAATTTCCACCTATGGCCATGAGTTCTAGTATTTAAACTAATATTAAAGTAGCCATTTGTCTGAACAGCATCCAGACCTGTTAGAATCTTATATACCTGGATCATGTCCCCCCTTAATCTCCTTTGCGCGAGGCTGAACAGATTCAGCTCAAATAACCTCTCCTCATAAGACATTCCTCTAAGACCAGGAATCATTCTTGTAGCCCTCTGTTGCACCTTTTCTAAGGCAGCAATGTCCTTTTTAAGGTATGGTGACCAAACCTGCACACAATATTCTAGGTGGGGTCTTACCAAGGAATTGTATAATCGTAGCATCACCTCCCTTGACTTAAACTCCACACAACTAGAGATGTAACCCAACATCCTATTGGCCTTTTTAATTGCTTCCCCACACTGGCGAGAATGAGACATGGAAGCACCAACATACACACGAGGTCTTTCTCATAATCAGCTACCTTTATTTCAGTGGAACCCATAAAATATCTTCTGAAAAGTCTTTCAGCATGTGTCAGCAATTGTTCACTGTTGGAAGCCTGTAGGTATTTAGTCTTTTAAAGAGCCACAAACCATACAATACTCTTTACAGTGGACAGCATGATTGGTCTGTAAAGGTTTAAAATGAAAATTAATAGTCTTACTAGCTGTGTAAATATAGTTCGGCTCACTGATATCAACTCTGTCCCTATAATTAGCCAATGAACGCTATATTTTAGTAGCGTGTGGCCAGTGGAGCTGAGAAATTGTATTAAAATGATCTCTGCAGTTTTCATTTCGTTTTAGTTTTAGTCTTAGTCAGCCGGGTGACATATTCTTTAATTTGCACCTGTGCAGAGTTTGCAAGACAAGTTGCAGTAATTAAGACCAGCCTAGTGGGTGGATGCGTTCGTGTGTAGTTTTAAATAGCAACATTTATAATAGCACACGTATAAAATTTGAGTTCTAAATAAACACGTGGTTGTGTGCAAATGAATTATGGTGTTACAGAGTTTAGCTTTTGTTTAGTTCTGTGGTATAACTGAAGCAGTAGTGAGATGATGTTGACTACGGCAAAAATTTATCACGTTCTCGGACAGGTAAAAACATGATTATGTGCATGTGTGTCTGAGAGTGTGGAGGAGAAATGTGCAGAGAAAACGTACTCGAAGAATCCTGTGTTTGCGCACAATGTGTGTCATCTGCAGCCTAGCAGAAAGCCTAGCTAAAAGGCAAACATTCTCTAACGGTGCTAAAACTACTTTGGATGTTTTTTTTTACTATCCTGCTAAGCAAGAATACATCCAAACAGGACAAACCAGAATTAATTTATTTGTTTTCTTTTTATAAACGACCCTGAACCGAGGTATTGCCTGTAAGGTGGTTGCCTCATAAAAACTGAAGCCCTAGTTAAAAAGATTACTTGCTGTAGAACTAACTAATCTCATAAAGCAGTTGCCACTTGCTTACAGATGAAAACAGGAATAAACAATCTTAATCCATGAAAATGCATGAATACTGTACCAGCAAGTATTAAAGTAGCTTGCCTTGCATTTTGCTGGCACACTTAAGACACTAGTTTTTTGCTTTTGCAATAGTTAAATATAAAATGTGTAGTTTGAAAAATGTCAAATAAAACGCTAATTGATCGATAATAAGTTTCTAAGTGCAGTCTAAGGTCCTGAAGGTACGTTACACTGAACAGCTAAACACTTCATGTTTTTGTCATTTCATGCTATATTTTGTCACACACAATATAACAACAGAACAATGACCCTTTGTCTTATGTTCTACTATGGCTCAGCAATGGAAACAGAAATGTTCAGTCCTCGCGCCTGTAATAACTGTTTCCCTCTCGACAGAGACTGAGGGGGTGTAAATAACTAGTATAGAAGCTCAGCTAAGTGCCCCCCTTGAAAGCAGCGACCTCGTGAGGTATAACAGTGATACTTTCAGCATTCGACTAGGGTCAAAACACGGGGAGAAAGTGCCGGCGAGGCAGAATCATAGGAAGAGGTGTGGTGCTATAAGAAATCATTCCTGCAGCATCCCATAAATAGTCATTCTTTGCCCCTCACTGTTACATATTTACACTTAAGAGCGCCACATATAAACTTGTTTTGAAAGCCTTTGTGATGCTGCTGAAGAATGTACTTGATGCTCATGCGAGTTTTACTTACGCAAAAATGTTCTGAGGGCAGAATGAAAAAGAGATTCGGAGAGATAACCAATCAGATTATAGAGGAGGTGGGACCAACCAATCAGATGCCTTGGTCCCGCCTCCTCTAATTGCTTGGACCCGCCACCTCTACAATCTGATTGGTTATCTCTCTGAACCAATCATTTTTCATTCTGCCCTCAGAATATTTCACGTATGTAAAACTCCCACTGGCATACGTGATCTACAGCATTCACGGCAAAGCTCCTTCCAAGTCATCTTTGGCCTTTTCAGCAGCACGACTCACGTTGGACAGACAATTAATCTTATACGACAAAGTAGAAACGTAACCCAGAGCTCAGGAATTATGATCCATACATAGTGCACCTGCTAAAAAGTAGTGTTTGTAATATGCTTAATCTGTCAATCATAGAGCTTGAACCCATGACCTTCTGGAGAACACAGACCCCTAAACTCCCGAGCTGCACGCCACCCCCTAGCCTATTGCAGCAGCAAGGAGTGGCTAAAATGCATGAATGCCTATGATTGCATTTTTGCCACTGAGGGCATAATTTTGAAATATTGTGATGGAGTCATATTCATGTCATCATATATGACTTTTAAAATGTGTTCATGTCTTTTGCACTGAGAATATCGCATTTTCTGCTTCAGTGAAGTTTTCCCCTTTCGGTTGATTTTTACCCTTGCCGGCCCAGTTGGGTTGAACCAGTCAAAGAAAAAAACTATGGTGGCCCGACTGACTGCCCACCCCTGCGAGGCATGCAAGCCCTCAATCAGCTCAAGCTAGCCCTGCTGGTCCTGTTTCCAGCACCCTTCCACACTATTTTCCCATTAATATCATTGCAGATGTCATAGCAGAAGCATGAATTTTCCTGAACAGGAAACAACATTTCAGCGTGGGGGGCATGATTGACAGAGGGGCCTATGATATATTTACACTGGTCTGGAACTGAGGCAGAGAAGTCTGCAAACGAGTGACTCAATGTATTTAAAACTGGTCAATACATTAGCATTGTCTTATCATCGTTTAGTCGCCAAGTCGAGTTCGACTCATGGGCTTCAGCACACCGGTTGCTTCTGTCGAGCTCCTTCTCTCTGAGCCCCTCCAGACTCGCCTTCATCACTCCAGTTATGGTGCCCATCATTCTCAGCCTCTGCCTCCCTCTTCTCAGCCTCTGCCTCCCTCTTCTCAGCCTCTGCCTTCCTCTTCTCAGCCTCTGCCTCCCTCTTCTCCTTCTGCCTCCCTCTTCTCAGCCTCTGCCTCCCTCTTCTCCTTCTGCCTCCCTCTTCTCAGCCTCTGCCTTCATCTTCTCCTTCTGCCTTCAGTCTTCCCCATCATGAGATCCCTCTCTGACGACTGATGCCTTCTCAAGATATGTACAAAATATTTAAGCTTCTACCTCATCAATTCTTCCAAGGAGCAATCTAGCTGGATTACATCAATTACTAATTTGCTTGCTCTTTTTACCCACGGAACTCTCAACAGTTTCCTCCAACACTAGAGTTTGAATACACCTGTACTTTTGTGTTCAGCCTTACTAATAGTCCAGCTGTCCATACGTCATTAATGGAAACACTACGGCTTTGACCATGTGCACCATTCATTATGTTATTTAGAGTTGCCATCACTTTAACATAGATTCCGTATGTCTTCATCTTTTTTTATCACATACCAGTATGTCTCACGGCAGAGTTATTGGAGATATCTATTCTATAATGAAGAGCTACAGTCCTGGTTTGTCCAGATAGGAATGGATCCGGTAAATCATGTGAATATATATTCATTCTTGCGTTTTACAACATTTACCAAATAAATTACAAATATTAAGATAATGCTGTTCTTCGGTGATTCTCAGTTGTTCTGAATCCATTGCCTAATGATTCTAGGACTAATCATGAACTCTGATCATATACTGCCGCATTAATAAACATGCTGTTCACATATAATACTTGGTACTTTATATAAAACATAAAAAACTAATGTAGCTTCTCCAAATATTAATACTTTAATTGTAATAAAAAGCTATAAAAATTCAATTTTTGTTTTCTTTTCAAGTTGCAAGTATTGAACAGTGTTTCTGAACTGGTGGGCTGTGACCCAAATGTGGGCCATGACTTAATGACCAAGCAAACATAGGTCTTGAAGCCAATCCAGCTAAGAACCATTGCATGACTGTAGTAAACCTCAGCCCTTAATTCTGAAAACATATTGCGGCAAGAAGATTTTGTGGAATATATCCCTGGGAGTGTTATCTACACACAAAATATTTGATCTGTTTGATCACAGAAAATTATCATCTTTTATACATATTTTCCTACTTCTGTCATAAATAACTACAGATATAACAGTATTAGGATATTTGCATGTCACATGACCTAAAACAGCTGTTCTCGCACGTTTCTTTAGCTCCTCTATATATTGGCTTTGTTCCAATATCAGATAATCCGAATAAACTAACGAACCAACCTTCAAGCACATTATTAGTTTGAATCATTTTAAATGATGAGGGTAACAATGAGAGGTTTGGGAGCCAGTGTCATGAAAAACTGGACTGAGCCTTTGTCCTGCCTCAACACACGTTCTCATTCTGAGAGGTAAACAACTGTAATAAATATCAAATACTAAGCAGAACCTAGTTTGAGACACGAAGATGTACATCATGTATTCTTCATAATTTATTGTATAATGGTCATTTTTAAAACGACTGCACAAAGCTTTATTCGATGATGTACAATACTTTTGTATCCCATGGTAACTAAAGTACAATGAGAAAACACTAAAAACATTACCAAATACATAACTGATTACACCACTACCATGCAAAAAAAACACATTGATAAATAATTGTTTTCAAATTAACAAAAGTGGTGAAATCAAATTACATTCTTCAGTTTTAAATACGGCGGTTATAAGAGGATGTAAACCAACAACTGACATAACACAAACCTTACAAAGCTACATTAAAATACTTCAGATTCCTCATTTAAAACCCATTATTGACTCCAGTAACTAGTGAGGGTATGTTGTGTACAATTACACCAAAGGCTGGCATGTGCCACTCTACTACATCTTAATACACAATTCCCATCAGGGTTCCTGCAACCCAACACTTCCCAATACCCACAATGCCCTATTGTTAGGATGTCAACCACATGATCACAAGCTACGGAGGTGTGGTAATCCTCAGTCTTCTTACAATCGAGATGATCCTGTAGCCAGTCTTCCCAGAATGCTCGATTCCACTACTGAGCAAAGTAGTATAAGTTCGCAGGGTAGGGAATATACATTTGAAAAGGAAATTATAAAAGAAAAGGCCACAATAGTGCTCAAGTTCACACCCACAATTGCAGAGACAAAAAGGCTCCAGATTTCTCATCGTTGACCATATGGAAGGTTGTTTAGACAGGAATCTTCATCGCTGAGGCAAGTTAAAAAAAAAAGAAAAAAAGCCCTGAACATTGAGATCTATATCATGGTCACACATTTCGTATCCCTGAACACTGCCTTTCACCAAGTCCACGTCTCTTAAATAACTCCTTGCCATGATATTATACCTTTAGAGATCTGTGTGTCGAGCTTAGTATTGTCATGGTAACGTTCCTCAAGCGGGCGATGTGAGCGGACCGACAAAATCATTGTTACTTCACACGCCATCCTTGTGAAGTAATCCTGTCTAGTTTCCGTATGACCACCAGCACACTCAGCGTATACAGCGATTATAATATGGTTGAGGCATACGTCTTCAGCCTTGTCAGCCATATATCAATGGATTTCAATATGCACCTGCAGAATAAGAAAACAAGCGGAAGAAATTAGAACATCAATCGCCATCAATGGCAAACATTACTTGCACTAGCCTAAGGCCATATATCATATTCTGACAATGCCCCACAGATTTAACCATTTACACGATGTTCCATTCTATACATGTTCAAATGTCAAAATGTTACCGAGAGTTCAACTATACTTAGTCTAAGAAAACAGGTTAGACGGCCGAGTTGTTTACAACTTTCTCTGACCCAATACAGTAATACATAGACATTTAAACAGACTAATTTAATCCTTAATATTACAATATTGACAAACATTCCTTCAACATGACATCCAGAAATCATTTTCCATACAATTCCAGCAAGCTTGCATTATATATTGTACTTGCAGTAAAACGTACCGTGTCACCCTGTTACCTTACCTGCAATCGTACATTGAACATCATAGATGCAATGAGGTAGAGGTAAGGGAATTTGATTCGTAGTCGCCATGCAAGATCAAAAAATATCAACAAGGTTCTCGTCAGCCCTTTGGAAAACACCCCATACGTCCTACCAGCGGACCCAGAAAAGCGGACGACTAAGTAAGACAGACCCGCCATAAGACGACTACCGTCCACAGGTACTGTCTGGTTAGCTAGCGGGCTACTTAGCCGCTCGTCGCAGTACACTGTTTAAACGGTATCACTATTAAGAACGGCCTAACTAAATACATTTCCTTGCCATGTATAAGTGACTATGCCTTCACCCCACGTACGCCGCCCCTCGGCTTTTCATTCACCCGGACCTGCAATTACAGGGATCTCCCACATTCTCCCCAGAACTTCCTGTGACGCGACGGATTTGGCGTGGGTGGCGTTCTGTTTGCGCTGCAACTGCGCAGAGGCGCATGCCTTTGTTTGATCCGGCAGGAGGACGGGATCTGCTCGAAAGTTTACCCTAGATACCTCGAGACACTTTAAAATGACGTTTACTCTGAAAAAGTTGCTTTAAAATGTTATCACGGAGTAGGATTACCTGGGATATTACGGGGTAGGATCCTACTCTGTGATAACATTTTAATTATAAACATTTAAAATCCAGGTAGTGGATATTACCATTTAAAACAGATCAAAATGCACATTTTCATGAAAGATTTGGGATGATTCGCAAAAGTTTAGTGGCTAAAGATAAAATAAAATAATTACCATACATCAATGTTATATGAACCTAACCAAATGGAAGACAGATGGTTTACAGCTTACCACTACATACAACAATTGATTTTCTTGATTTTGCTGTGATTACTTTCCTAGGTACATTAACCGTTTTACATGTTTTAAATAAACCAGCAGATAAAACACACCTTGCTAGTTTGGAATGTACGGCATGCAGTTAATAAAATATATTAATAAAACTGAAAACCCCATCATATATATATGTAATGCAATCCACTTGGAGACGTTTAAATATGTAAGTAAATATTTTAACACATGCACGAGTTAGTGAACACATGCAGTGTGTGAAACGCGAAGGATTCAATGGAGTTGCGACTTTCACGCGTATTTATGGAGTACCCCGACATTTAAGAAATTCAAATTTCCACTCGGCGACGGGACAATAATGATCATTCCTGTATCTATCTGATGTAGATATTTATCTGATATAACAGATAAATAAATAACATAAAGGAGTGTTTCCCCTCTCGTACATCACGCTCCCAACGCGCGCTCAGGATTCCCGGGAGTAGGAGCGGCCGGAAGTGACTCACTGGGAGCTGCAGTTTCCGTCGTCTGGATCGCTGTTTTTTTAATCCGGACTGTTTTTTGGGGTGGTGGCTGTGCGCTTTCCAATCTCAAACCACTCCTAAGTTATTGTCGAGGTGTTATTTCAGAGCCAAGACTTACTAGACTTTAGTTTTTAAACGCCTCGTGAAGTAAGCTAGTTTCCAGACTAGCGAAGGACAACTGCGTCCGACTTCTGCCAAGAGTTTCTTTTTTTGAGGGAAAATAAGTTCGCACAAAGAGCCTTAAAAACCTGCGCCCCTTCGGCAACTCTCCACCAAGTTTCCGGCTAACACGGACCGATGCAGGCCATAAAGTGTGTGGTTGTGGGAGACGGGTAAGTTGGCAGCGGCCGGCCGGCGCATTAGGCTTTTGTTTCGTCCCCGCGGTGCGTGAAGCGTCCCGAAGGAAAGCGGTGAGGCGTCGCTGCTCGGCGGCACAGGCGAGGCTAAACTGCTAGCCAGCTCCGGCTAGCGCCTCCATGTTCCGCATTCCGGACTTCAGCCTCTGCAGGCCACGCGCAGGATGCTGCACTTTTAAGACGCACCAAGCCTGCTCTGCTCTTTAAATTACTCCTTAAATACTTCCCGATAGCGGCATGCCCCCCACGTGCGTTATAAATGTATTATAAGCTGAGCTCTTTCTTTTTTTAGGGGTAAATGAGATTTGTAGCTTAGCCCCAAATACCCCCAGCCCGTGGGAGCGGCGAAGCGAGGATTGTAAACCCCTCCCTGCATTTTTTAGATTAAAATGTGTATGAAGGGTGCCATCGATCAGTAAAAGAAATTTAGTGTTTCCAGATTGAAGTCCGCAGCAGTGGGTTATCTCGAAGCAGCAGCAATTCGGGAGTTTATTGCATGAATCGTCTCAAGGTTAATTAACTGTTTTTTTTTATATATTAAGTTGATCTCCGCAGGACACTTACGGGAAGGGATTGAAGGGACTTCCTCATTTAATATAGAGAGAATCACATGATTGATCTTTTTCTTTTGGCCTTTTCCCCCAAGATTCTAGAATAACTCCCATTTTGAACGTTTTTTAAATATTTTTTTCACGATTTAAATCTGGTTTGGTTTCAGGGAGTGTGCATTAATCACCTGTCGTCATAGTAGTAATAGCTAGGCTGTCACTGCAAGCTTGTATGAGCTATATAGGGTGAGATATAATTTTCCATGTTGAGTGGGCGGTAGTAATTTTTAAGTAGCTACGTACAGGGTGTTTAACATCACAACTTTAAAATGAACACGAGAAGAGAATTTCAGTGATTTACAGATCTGGTTAGATGTAGTTTATCTGTTAACAGGCGCAGTTCTGTAGCTATGCTGAAGTTGTAAGGCGGGTTATGTGCCTTGACTCTGGCTTTTCACTACGTTGTTATCCAACTGTAAACAAATCAGCCAGTGTGAATATCTTCTCACATGTCTGCCTATTACTTGCTCATTTTCAAAATTGCAAGGGGAAGGGATATTTCTCTGGAGGCCCCCAGAGAAAAGACATTTTGTAGCAGCCACGTGGAGCTTCGTGTACAAATGTTTGCGAGATGACAGTAAAGAATGTTGAATCTTGATTGATGCCTATGGCTGTCCAATGCATTTCTTGCTGGTTTCTTGTTTTCTTTTTCTAAAATGATAGTATCGACATAAGGTGTTTTACCATAAGCCTTTTTGAAAACTTAATACATTTTAGTGTGTTTTTTTTAATATACTTGTCTACAAAGAGTAAGCTTAGATGCAGAGAGAGATTTACTTAACAATATGAGATTTGTTTTTTTTTTTGTGGGGTGTGGTGAAGGAACGTTCTGCCTCTTCTCTGTATGGGTCAGTGCGATAAAGAGCCCAGGGGTATAGAGAAAGCCAAGCTGGTAGGTAGTGCTTCTCAGACTCGCTCACTAGGAAACCTTAAAATATACTAGAGCTGGGTGTGTGTGTTTTTCTGGGAGGGTGAACAGACTGGTAGCTATGTTAGCTCTCTGTAGAACATGTTTGTCTTGCATAACAAGTCTTGTCTTGTCAAGACTCGGTCTTTCTGGGTGACAACGAGCAGCTTCTAGTATGTCAAAGCTGCAGCACCTTGGAAGGGGCCAGTGACGTGTGCAGCTAGAGTAAACACTCAGCCACACATGGCTATCTCCATTTTGATCATGGCTATCTCCATTTTGATCATGGCTATCTCCATTTTGATCATGGCTATCTCCATTTTGATCATGGCTATCTCCATTTTGATCATGATGTGAAGATGCACCGATGCGACCGTTTACATTCGTGTGGAGTAATTTTACCTCTTGTGTTTCAGGGCTGTGGGAAAAACATGTCTACTCATCAGCTACACTACCAATGCCTTTCCTGGAGAATACATCCCCACTGTGTGAGTTCACTCGTACAACGTGCAGGAGTTGTGTTTTTGGGGGTGATTTTAATGCTACTTTTCCCTCTTTATAAATTATGCTGAACTGACTTCCAGTACAACCCAATTTTGCTGCCTCGCCTGGTCCCGTTTGCTGGCTGCTTTTGAGTGTGTGAAATAAGGACCTCACCTCCCCCTTCAGGTTCGATAACTACTCCGCCAATGTGATGGTGGACGGCAAACCTGTCAACCTGGGATTGTGGGATACTGCTGGCCAGGAAGACTATGACAGACTCCGCCCCCTCTCCTACCCCCAGACGGTAAAATGGCTTAAAGCTACATTCTGGGATGAGTGACGACTTCTGTGTGATACTGCCGAAGTCACCCTAATGTATGTTACTGTACGGTGTTAAATGGAAGGCGTTCAGCATCTCCAGCAGCTTTACTTTATTATTACTCAGTTTCACTGGCTGTGTTCAGGATTTTCATCTGCTTGTTGCATAGAGCCATTGTGGATATGAGTTTGCAATGTCTGCCCCCAGGATGTGTTCCTGATCTGCTTTTCTCTCGTGAGCCCCGCATCCTTTGAAAATGTGCGAGCCAAGGTGAGTGAGAGGCTTCCTTTATTTAGTTTCCGTTTTGTTTTGTTTGTTTTTGTTTGTTTTTTGAGCCGAGTGCTGAGTTGCCATCCCGTTCTGTGCAGTGGTACCCCGAAGTCAGACATCACTGCCCCAACACTCCCATAATTCTCGTGGGCACCAAGCTCGACCTGAGGGACGACAAGGACACTATTGAGAAACTGAAGGAGAAGAAGTTGACCCCCATCACGTACCCACAGGGCCTGGCGATGGCCAAGGAGATAGGTTTGCGTCCCGATTTGGCGTTGCGTCTGTTTTTGGCCCTTCCCAACAGCCAGAAGTGTAACTTAACCGACCCTCTCTGTGCATCACAGGTGCAGTGAAATACCTGGAGTGCTCAGCGCTGACGCAGAGGGGACTGAAGACGGTGTTTGATGAGGCCATTCGTGCCGTGCTTTGTCCCCCCCCCATCAAGAAGAGGAAGAGGAAATGCTTGTTACTCTAAGGCCCCGTGAATACATACCTGCACTTGCAGGATGGGGACAGACAGACAGGCCATGTTCGCTTATTGTAACTAGTACTACTCGGTACTTACAATAAATAGATTTTACCACACGCATAAAATCTTAGCTAGACTGTACTGTTAGCTCTAGGAATGGATATGATGAAAGACCTGCCCTCTTTTTCTTTAAACTTCACTAAAGACTACAGAAATTCCAGCGGCCTTCTAAAAACTACACTAACTTGTAAACTTCTAGACTGTAAACTGAATGTTCTTTAACCTCATTTTTATTTCCTGTAAGAGGATATATATTGTTTAAACACTTCAGTTGTTGAGTCAAGGTGTTGCCAAAATCCAGAATCAAGATCAAGCTATAATTCTAAGCAGATATAGTCTGTATTTCCTCTTCCCCGATTTCTTTGTTTACATTTCTGTGAAGTCGAAGTAATAGCCTGTGATTTTGAAGGCAATGGTTTCCTGGGGAAAAATGAAACTACAACCAAATTGATTGTGTAGAACTTGCTGTGACATTTGCTTTTAAATTGGTACCACAAAATACTAAAGACTCCCTTTGTCACAGAACATACGGTGAAGACAATATGAATAGAAATGCAATCTGTACTTGGGAACGGATTTCATTTATGTACCATAATTGTGTCCATTATACCTGAATGATCGGAGTTGGTTTCTAGGGAAATGGCATGTTCTAGCAGTGTTTTACAAAGAGCTTCCCCATATGTCATGGGGTAACTGTGAGAAGAAATGGCAGACATGCATATACTTAAGATGCACCAGCTCTCTCATACACCAAACTCCAGCCACCTAGTCCCAGGATGTGTTATTTACCTTTTTTCCATATTCGGGACTGAAAGTCTTGGATAATTACAGTAACTGTTCAGTAGTCCAGTAACTTTCAAATTTTTTTATCAACATTTTCCAAATGTGATGCGTGATTTAGGGTAACTTCAATTGTTTGTATACCAACCTTTCAGAAATGGTAACGCTAACCACTGCAATGTCGCTCCCAGGGTTGGGTCAGTATCTACACAACACTCATGGTCTGTTTTACCATGGCTGTTTTGATCATATTTTTAATCAACGAAGTTATACATCACTGTATTTTAACTAACATTATGAATATTCCTCATTACCTCTTAATGCAAATAACTTTACTTAAAGCTGTATAGCTTTTAAAAACTGCTAAAATTACAGTATGCAATGTACTTCACTTACTGACTGGTAGAATTTAGTAAATCTGAAATGTTTATCTTCCGTTAAACACTTGGTTGGCACAGCCTGACGTGCGAAAGTAATTTGTTTGCGCTCAGGCATTCAGCTGTCTGTGTTCAGGAAAAATACAGATGCTTTTCGTATGACCTTGGCTTTCTGGGTAAATTTGTTTCTTTTTTCACTTTTTTTTTTTGCTGAATTAAAGAGTAAGCCAATAAATTTGAATAAAACAAGACTTGCAATCTTTAAGTGATATTTCTTTGTGGTACCACATTTAGTTAATGTAGCCATGTTTAAGCAATCTCTGTAAGACCTGGTAAATTTATGCTAAGTCATCGGAATGTAAAGTACCTCATAATGGCAAGATTCCTGGAATGTACTGGATCAGTTTTCAGGACAGCCCAGTAAAATGCCAGTTTAATATCCAGATTCCAAAAAGCACTAAATCAAACTGTACAATTTATTATACATTGACTTTTACAAGTACACTCTAAGGCGCATACAGCATGGCAGGCAAAATTTAATGCGACAGTGGCGCCTCCTGGTGCCTGAATGTTACTCATTACACCAGCTACATCAGGATTCAACAAACCGCAGCAACACACCTGAGGTCGTGGATATGCTGATGAGAGGGGAACAAAACAGAGCAAGCATTATTCCACATAGTTATTTTCACTTCTTAAATTGTGCTTGATGCGAGGAAACGCCTACCGGTTCACCATTTCCGCCCCAATGATATCATGGATGTGATACTTCATTTGGAATTTAACCTGAGACGTGGTTTGCCGCCGTTCTAAGTCAGACATAAGAATTTCATTGTATCTGGATTTCTTGATCATGCCGAGCACGGCTTTGCGTCCTAGAGGAGTGGAAAGGCACGTCAGTGGAGACAATCTAGGAAAGGCAGAAGGGGGAGATGAAAATAACGGAAAAAAACAGGCCTAAAACCCACCTTGAATGAAGTGTTTTGTGAATCGGCCGGAGTTGGGGATGGCAAGCCACCAGCTGCCCGCGTCTTTTACAGTCAGCACCCCACACTTCACCAACTGCCTGACAGGGGGATGCAAATTTTTATAATGGTTACAGCCGTTGAGACTTGGAAGGTGGGACAGGACTGCGTAGCCAAGCCCGTCTCCTTACGTTATCTCCGCGTCTGTGAAAAAGAACTGCTGGAGCATCTGGTCCTTGTTGAAGCTCATGTCGGGGCAAGAGGGCAGGACGTTGTTCAGAAACTTCTCCACGGCTCCGAGGGTGGCTCTCCCTGCCTCGCCGGCGAGCACCTTCTCCCTGTAGTCCTCGGTAAAGACCACGCCGACAGCCTCGGCATCGAAGCCCATCTGGAAGACCAGCACTTCTCCTTTCTCCCTCAGCTCGTTCTGCAGATCACAAAACACACATTCAAAAAGTGCATCTCAGTAGCACGATGCATTGTATTATCATTCTGATCATCCATTTAAACAGGGACCAGCAAGTGAAAATAACCAAATGAAGGTACAAAACAAAACAAAAAGATCAACAGATTCTGAGACATGGCTATTGAGGTACTCATTGGGATTCTGCGGCAAATCTCCTGAAAAACTTTGTTACCTAGTTTAATAGTGTTCTGTGGGCTTTTTGGAGAAAACTGAAAGCGAAACTGAACAAAATTATAACTGAAGAATGCTGACAAATTGTTGCATTTCAGTGTTTTTGAAAAAAAAATGAGCAAGAAAAACTTTTTCGTGAAAAAATTAAAGGTGATATTTGATAAGTTGAATCTGAAGCGTTTTGGGACAGTTCTTACCCTTTCCATCAGACAATGCACTTATGCTGGCACCTACTTGGAAAGGACTCACCAGCTGGCGATCGACTGAAGTCCGGTCGCCGTGCAGGCTGTACAGCTGGTGCTGCAGCACGATCCGGGGAAGAGTGTCGTTGAACAGCTTTCGATTGAATAGGGACATTAGGGACTCCAAAGCCGCCTTGATGTCAAATGGTCCATCTGCATTATAACAAGAGTAACACGTACGGCTCACAAATGCAAAAACATATGTGCATACAAACATATGAAAGAGCGACATGGCACCTAAACGTGGACAAAAGTGTCATCTAAATAAAGTTAAATCAATTCAACTAACATGCTGCTACCAGTAACGGAAACCAGTTAGAGGTCTCTTAGCTATTCATAAATGATACAGATGAAGGCAGAGAGTGGAAAAATGAAATGCCAGTCTACGTTTTACACATAAGAAAGCATTATCTTGTTGCTGTACAGTTCTGTACATTACGGTTAATAAAAGTAAAAACGAGAACGTGAACAGATATCGTACGTAGTAGAATCCTTACCATTTGCTTGCACTCCGACGTTATCAGATCCGCTTTTCCATTTTTTCGCTGTGAACGTTTCTGGAATCAGCGTCCTTTTCCTGTTCATCGCTGTAAGGTCAAGGCGACATGGTCATACCTTTAAATATGTTTGCTTAGTTAATATTTGTTTATTTTGATCCACAGGTGACTATGGCTGGCAATCTGTTTACCAGTAGGTTTTCATATCTTGATAACATTTTGATAGTAACTAGCTAACAAAACTCTTCTTATGTTTATTAAATTTAGAAAATCTTACCGATAGCAATGAAACCATACTTTAAATTTAATATGACGAATTATAAAACTCCTTATTTCTTATAGCATAAATATTCCAGCATAGATTTAGATTTATGAAGCAAGGGAAACGCGACTGCAACTGCTGGCGTAACGGAGACTGTGCATCTCTAGTGGAAGAAAGTTATAGCGCCCCCTGCTGTGGCGGAGCTTTTATGTCCGGTTGAGCCTAAAAATGTAACGCCGAGCTCGTCGACCTAACAATTTCCATGCTCCAAACGCTAGGCGGCGACACCGCGTCACTTTACCATAACCAGGAACCGGAAGTTTTTTTTGCTAGCGTGTATTTTGTTGTAGGCTGAGTTGTTGCTGCTGCAGGTATGAATTATTTTATATTTTTCTGTCAGCTTTAGAAAACCGCATTAAATGCTCGGAAAGTTGACCTGTCTACAGTTCGTGGATTATTAATACCTCTCAAAGGTAGTTAAGAAAATACAAACGACGAAATTGTACCAGAACGATATTTGTGCATTATTCTAAACTTTAGTTTCTTACTAAATAACTACACTGCCATATGAAAGTCTTTTAGTCTGATTGTGGTTGTGTTTGTTAAACAACACAGAAAAAAGACATGGAACACCATAACTATCGAAAGCAGTTACCGGATCATTATAATCACCGGTTACCGCACAGAAGACTTCAAGATGAACCTGGGGGCGAGTCTGATGAACGACATAAACGCCTGCGACGCGACCAAGACGTGGGTGTTACTGCTGCCGTATCCGAACATCCTCCGTTCCTGAGCACAAGGCGACACTTGTACGAAAGAGACTTTCCTCTATACAAACAACCTGTGGAAGTGGGACACTTTTCTCTAGATGCCAAACGCCGTTTTTTCAACGATGACAGACAGCTGCGATATTATATCCATCCGGACAGACACCCGAATTTCCATCTCCGTGATGGGTACCGTGACCGGTACATCAAGAGAGATGAGGGGGTGAAGGAAAAACTGGACCACCTTCTCAGGTGGATTTTGGCAAACAAATCAAAAGTCCAGATCCAAGCGGCTTCATCACAGTAGGTGACAGTAATTTGGGATTACTTCTGCCCTAAGTTAAGATTCGTGGATTTTAGGACCCGTTATACAAATAGAAGAAATACAAGTGAAATCGCAAATAAAGGATAGCAATGTACATATAACTATTCGCATTCAAGACATTACAGTATCTGTTCATTGTAAATGTTTGTGTTGTAATCATCAGTAATGAAATCCACCCCCACCCCGCATCGTTTGCCCCTAGGGAGCTGAACGTGGATGTGGTCACGTGGCGGGGTCACCTGACCAAGCTGCTGACCACGCCCTACGAGACACGTGAGGGCTGGCTGCTGGCGGTGACGCGCTTTCGCGGCACGCTGTACATCAGCGAGGTGGAGACCGAGGCGGATCAGCGCAGCCGGGAGAGCCGCACCCAGAGGCTCGAAGAGATGATGTACTGGGGGTACAAGTTTGAGCAGTACATCTGTGCAGGTACCACAGCGCCCTCTCTGGCGGTGGTGTGCTGGTGACTGTGTCCAGGTTCAAGTGTGGTCCCAGATCTATTTCTGTGTTTTTAATTACCCTCATTTGACCATTAAAAATATATTTTTTTAAAAACCCACAGATGACATCTTTTTTTGTGTGTCCGCTGTTCTTTCCTATAAGACGGAGCTCAGAATCGGCCTGATCCTGGCGGAGTAGTGAACACGAACGAGGCTTTCTGCACCGTCATCCAGACGCGTCTTGCAGGGCACAAGCTTTTGTTCTCTGGGGAGGTGGACTGCAGGGACGGAGACCCTCGGGCCCCAGTGGCTCCTGGCTGCTACGTTGAACTGAAGACCTCTGCTGAAATCTGCACTCCAAAGCAGCACAGCAATTTCCTCAGGTCTGACGATAAGGAGTGAAATTAACAGTAACTGGGACTACTTCAGATTAGCTTTAATTGTTGTCTGGTTGAGAAGGGTCTCATTTAAAAATGGCTTCTTGCAGACCAGACTTTTTGTCTCCTTGTGTAACTTGGTGGCTTTTGTCGTTCAGGTACAAACTTCTAAAATGGTGGGCTCAATCCTTCCTACCTGGAGTCCCCAGAATCGTCGCTGGTTTCCGTGACAATGACGGAATTGTGGTTTCCGTGGATACCTTCCACACCTCCAAAATATCCCAGCTTATAAAGGTGAGTCCAGGCGACTTTCTGATATCCCCTGCGGCCATGTGACAGCTAGACCTCAGTGTGCCAGAGTGATATCAGAGTAAATCCCATCCATTTTCCTGACACTTCAGAGTGAAGAGAACTGCTGGAAGCCGACTGTGTGCATGAACTTCTGCGCCGAATTCCTGTCATTTGCCAAAACAGTGGCAACTGAAGATGATCCTGAGTGAGTAGAAGTGTATTTATATCTGTCTGGGAATTACTGATTTTTATTGACTATTATTTGGTTAACAAACAGTCTGAAAGCATTTGCATACTTGATATGTGCCGGATCTCCCACAAAATACCATATTTTGAGATGTGTGAGGCCACCGTTTTACTTTTAAGTGGTTCTGGCATTTTAACAGTTTTGTATCTTCATCGTCGCCTCATTTCTGTGCCTTTATACCTTCAATGTGATGGAGCTCCATTCGTTTTTTTCCATTCATTCATTTTTTGGTGTGCAAGATTGTCACTCCCTCCAGTTTCTTTTATTTGTCATTAATACTAATTAAAGGGTCTAAACCAAATTAATCAAGAGACAATAAGACAGGGTCAGAAAGTACTGAATGGACAGCTGTAAGGAAGAGTAATTTTAGCTTGACGTGACCTTAGCAATGGTGACAGAGGTGGTCTGTCCTCCTCCTCAGGGTGGTCTACCTCTTCTCCTGGGACCCTAACAGAGATGTCACCTACTCCATCCACCGGAATTCACAGTACACCTTCCTCACGGACTGGTACGTGAGAGAACTGACGCACATGTGACTGAAGGCAGCCCCCATGCCCGGCGGACACAGCAGATATTCATCCAGGCTGACTGCATTTCCACCATACTGACTGACTGGCAGCCTTGGAGTTACATTCATTGGGGGGGGGGGGAGGGCACGAGGTGTTAAATACTGTATTTTAACACCCTTTTAATCCAGTATAGTACAATCTTGTAAAATTGGAAAGGGTCATTTTAATCAATATTATTATGCGCTTTGGGCTGTGCCACGTGTTTGTGACTGAGGATAAACATTTCAGATTTACTAAAATTTTACCAGTCAGCAAGTGAAGTACATTGTGTACTGTAATTGTAGCAGTAATCCATGACATATCAAATGCAGGGAATAAATTATAATAGAGGTAAGCAGGAGTTAGTCATGTCTAAATTTTAATAGTGTTTTTCCCACCACAAGTATTATTGTCATGCATAATTTTACAGCTTCGTCAAAAAAATCATTATTCATTTAAAAGACTTTTAATATTCCCCAATAAGTTACTTTCAACAAAGTTAATTTAATTTAGTAAAAATCATAGAAAAAATTATCAGTTCTGCACTAATACAATACGATTAAGGGTTGGTTATACTAGGGGTGTAAGTGCTGAGGAGTTTACTGTGTGCAGGTACCACAGCGCCCCCTCTGGCAATGGGGTGCCAGCGACTGATACCTCAGCTGTAACACATGACAGTCCTCATCTATGTAAACTGGTCTGTGCGCAGTGCTAGTGGTCAGCAAATGGCATTAGACTATCCCAACACTGCTGCACGTTGCCAACACCAAAGATTTATCATTAAACCCTGCTAATGCTAAAATACAGACATGGTAAACAAAACTCAAACTGGCATTTGCACGGCTAACATCTAACAGGTCTTTCTGGTTACCAGTTCCAGAGCGACGTATGTTTGTAGTACAGTAAAATGTTAAGTACCTTGAGTGATCACAGTGTATAACGAGCAGCCGCTGTTGTTGCTGCGATTAGTCAACGCGATAACAGTCCGTCCTGGTGTCAGAGGGAGTTCGCCATTAATGGTTATTGGTTTCCTAATGGAAAGCGTCCTCGCTGGGTCCGTTTGCTCATGCTAACTATGTTTCTGCACCCATCCCGCACTACGGGACTCGGGTACCAAGTCAGAAATCGACTCATCGCCTGTGAGAAAGTTCGCTACATTCGAATCCGTGCCGATTTCCCCTGCCTGTGTCCTCAGAGGCCTTTCATGGATGGCTATCGAAAGCGCCTCAGATTCAGTGCAGCAATGGAGTAAAGACTGTGAAACGGGGGTGTCTGCGCGTGCGATGAGAGATGGAGGTGGCAGTCAGGCCCGCTATCCTAGACTCAGTGCTTGAGCTTGCGCTTCAGGCCCATGACCTTGAAGGTGGCGCCGGTGATCTTCTCGTACACCACAAACATCAACGCCGCCGTCAGCACCGTCTGCAGCAGTTTGGCCTCCAGCCCTTTGTACAAGCCGAGGATGCCGTGTCTCCTGAATGACGGGGCAGAGAAGGGGCATTACAGCTGGCCAGCACCAACTCACAGACGGGGTGGGAGGCTTGGAGACTTACCTGATCCTGTGCATCAGCAGGGTCACCACATTGCCTAGGCTTCCCATAAAACCACTCTGCTTGTTTCCTTTGTACTGGCCAAACTGGGACGGAAAGTCAGTAGTGAGTGAAGCACCTGTGATTAAAACGCTAACTCGCAGAAGGAGTGGACTAAGATTTTGCTTTCTCAAGAATGCAAAAAATTGCCGATATCTCAAATCTGGACCTCTGTTCCAAATCCAGGCCTTGTTTTCAGTTCTCCCAGGGAGTTACTTTGATACTTACTGATTCTGATTGGCCACAGAGGCTTCACACCTGGCTCACAGGTAAAGGGAGGCTGGAAAACCAGGAGTGCTCGGCCATTGGGGACCGTGATTTGAACAGCCCTGCCATATATAGTCAAGACACAAAGACATGTGGCCCGATTTTGGAAGCGCACAGAAATGCAAAAAGGGCGTGACAGTTACCCTCAAGATTGCTTGGACGGTCTGGAGTGGGTAGGTGCCTGAGGTGGCGATAGCTTTGGCCAGCGCGCCGATCAGAAACACCTCCATGGAGGATATCTGAGGGAGAGGATCAGCACGCAGCCTGACTGGGTGAGCTCACACACGAAGCTATGAGGGGCAGCTGGGAGAACTGGGAAGGAACCTACCTTTCTTCCTCCGTGGCCCGCTCTCCTCTTCATAGCCTCGTAGAACATGAACTGCACGGCTGGGTTAAACACCAGCACCAGCGAAGGCAGAGTGCCATTCCAAAGAGAAGACACGCCCTCCTTGGCCACGATCTGGGAGAACGCATCTAGAACACAGAAACAGATGCCCAGTCATCATCTGGCATCATCATCATCATCAAAGAGCTGCATGTTAGTACTCCTGCACACCCAACAGATTCAACATCTAGTTCTCATTTTTCTAGATCTTGTGGGTATAATTTAGTATAGGTAACATACAAGTTAAATAAAGTGTATTTAATCAATTTCAGTGCCATGATCTTTAATGTCTGTTAGGTTAAATCTCACACTAGAGACCAAGAGTTTTATTTGATTTAATTACATTCGGTTGGTCCGTCGTCAAAAGTTAGAAGTACAGGAAATGGATGGATTTTTATAGCCACTGAAACAGTCCAGTTGAAATTAGCCTTAATAAGCTGTCATACATTAGGTGCCAGTAGGGCTTGACAATGGAAAAGTCAACTTCAGAACACATTTTAGGCGACGTGCAGCTGTCAAATGAGCCAAACATGAACCTGAAGTTCTGGCTTATTCCACATTCCCTTTCCTGCCTTTGGGAGCTCCGATGCACTGACCAAAGATGCCCTTATAGTGGGTTTGGTGCAAGTCCTCGCTGCGGAACTTCGCCCCCTGGAGCTTGAGCCGAGTATTGACCACCCACATGGGAGTAGTCAGGAGCACGTTCACTACCCCTAGAGAAGCACCAAAGAAATGCTACAGCTCAGTCCATTGGCCAATAATTTGACCTGCTCTATGTGGCTTTCAGCCACTCATACTTAGGGTGCGAGTGTCAGGCCTCGAACCTGAGATGAAGCCCATCAGCAGGTCTTTTCCAGGCCTCGATTTTTCCCCACTCGGCACCCACACTCTCTTCAGGGTGTTGAATGTGTAGAAGTAGACAAAGTTAGAGCAGCAGAGGCTGGAAATGACTGGGAACCAGCCCCGGTACAGAGAGCATCTGGAAAGAGATCAATCATCACCATCATACTGTCATCTACAAATTCTAGAACCCGGCTGCCACAGATTCTCCATTTTAAAAGGAAGTCAGCTGAAGGCCTGGACTAGCACTGTGAAAAATGACTCACTTAGGGTGCATGCTTGTCAGCCAGTGAGGACAATAAGGATGAGAAAAGCTTCAGTCAAAGGTATCAGAGAAGCTTAACATATCGACTATGTTTCCCAGTGACATCTGAAGCTCTACTTACATTCCTTCTTCCTTTGCTATCTCTGCGATGATGACTGGAGTTGATTTAGATTTTCTGTTCTCATCCACTGAAACAAATTGTCAATGAAGGCCAGTACATTAGAAAATTCCTCAAATACTTATGTTTCTCTGCATTACAGGTATGTGTGCCGGATAGAGAAGCAGATATGCTGGTTTATAAATAAATCCCAGTTTTCTGCCCTAGACCTGTACACGATTGCTACTCTCACCTTGCAACCGGATCCTGGCCGTATCCAAGGGGAAGAACACGGTCATTGCGGTCACACTCCCCTACACACAAAACAAATTAAAAAAAATAATTCAAGAGGCTGCATAATTGCAAAACGATAAAGGTAACGCATATTCACAGTCCGATTCATTGCAAGACACACCATTCCCAATTCACATGCCAGAAAACTGATGAGTAATACAATCCTTTCTATTTTCATATATAACGACCGGAGCGAGGGCGTTAATATATCTATACCTTGGGGCCGGGTGGGGCTCCGGTCTGAATATTTTTCACATTGCATAAACCGGAAGAGAATATAAACGATTTGTCAATTTATGATGCGTTTCCACGAATCCACTGGAACTGCTCTATAAACCCCAGGTTGATAAACCCTGATTCAAGTTAACTTCAGAAGACTTTTAAACAAATTTAAACAAACTATGTATAATCTCTAGTGCAAAATACAAATAAGAGGTGAACTTAAACAAGCATAACTGTTCTCCTATTTGCACTTAGACGGGGTAGTTAACGGAGCAGCGGTAGACGTAGCAGGTTCCTTGCAGTAGTTACGTAATTAGCGTTTCCCAGTTAAATTCATCTTACCATTGCACCTGCAACAGCGTGTACCAGCGTCTCGTAAGACAGCAGGCCGACCGCTCCGCCGGCGTTGTGGGACATTTCAAACTTCGGCTGACAGGATCTGAAAAAAGCAGGAAGATGTCAGATTAGGCTACTGCTGTTAGAGATGTACCTGGCAACCTAATGCAATGTCTACAACGTGACCTGGCAAAACATATCAAGACCCCTTGAAACAGGACTTCTCGCAGTGACACCGGCACTTGTTTAGAACAACAGGATGGGCGATTAGCAGGTTGATGGTTCTTTCTCGGTGGGATGCGAGACAACAGTCAAACATCAGCGCCACCTACTTTACGGAGGCTGCAATGACAAGAAGGAAGCAGCCTTTTATTAGGGGTCCAAGCAGCGACAGCGGGTGGATCCCTATTGTTTTTACATTAATTTAACTGAGAAATACGTCATTCCTTTAAAACACTAGAACAGTGGGCACCGGCTTAAATCCGGATAGGTCGCAAAAAAAAATTTCCGACGTAGTGAACCTTGGATTTTTATTGCTGGTGGAATTTGGCGCTCTTGGAAAATATATAGTCGGGGACCCCCTACACTAAAATGAAACACAATATTAAATTAATGTATCGTCACATTGACTTTTTGTACTTTAAAATACGTTTATAAACTGGAAAAGCATACAACTAACAATAAAATATTCTGGCTGTTAATATAGGCCTAAAAGTTTCATGTGCGTATGAGAGTTGGAGGTATGCGTTTGATTTTTCTGCACATAGTTACTATAGATACGGTAAAGGCAAACTGTCTTATTATTACGCTAATCCGGAATTTACATTTGATAAATTAGTATGTTGCCACCGTAATAACATGGTTTTAAATATCTCCAATAGAAAAGTATTTCCTTATACATTATTATACCGTGTGTGATTGGTATACATTTTAGTAATTCGGAAAATAGGCGCTTGTATTTAAGGTATTAATATTCTTGGGATTGAAACCACCCTCTTTGCTGATCGGTCCATAAGGAGTCCTTAAAGAAAGTCCATCTGAACTTTGCTGTCTGTTTATGACTCTGTGTGTCAATGACGTGCCTTCCAGCTATTTCATATCCCAGATTACGTGCCCTTTTTTCCCACCGGAGTGCAGAAAGAGACAGGCCGTGCCAACATTGCCCGCTGCTGTTTCTTTTTGTACCGCAAATACTTTTCTGCTTCTTTAATTTTCTGATAGCATATTTCAGTTTTTCAAAAACAACAGCGATTATGTCAAGATACCATAAAGCCGCGATTGATGGCTATCAGGATCTGCTGAAGGAAGCCACCACGAGAGATCTGAACACGCCAGACGAGGACGGGATGACGCCGACGCTCTGGGCAGCTTTTCACGGACACATTGAGGCTCTTCAGCTTATATGTAGCCGGCGGTGAGCATTTTACTCCACCAGTCAACTCAACCACCCACCAAATACGCGATGTCAAAATAAAATACCTGTCGAAACTTCCAGCAGAAATCAAGTAACGCATTCGAACGAGTTTTAATATAATTCTAGTTGGTTCCTGACACAACGCTTAATATCTTCAAGTCGTGAGAAAATTAGGTAAATATGACTTTACGTTCACAGTAATTGGCCCATTTATACCACACACAAGAGATTTAGACTTACAGCGCATTTGACCAATTAAGGTAGCCTATATAAAAACGTATTAATACAAATGTAAACTGTACAGCTATGAAGAAAACTTTACAATTGTGTGCCGATAAGAAGAAAATTAACTCGTATTTTTAGATTGTTTTAAATTACTAGATAAACCTATAGAAGCGTTTATGCTGTGCGCGATCTCGTAAACGGGCTATCGGAAATTTATAAGGCTTCCGGCTAAGTTGTATGTTTACTGATCGTATATGAATATATTGCACATATTATCCCCTCCCATTTTTAAATCGGGAGCATTTCCTGTAGAACTCATTGATTGTAGAAAGTGTAAAAGAAAAAGCATTTCTACTCAAACTAAATGATGGAAATCTGTGTATATTTCATCGCCTTTTTCTATATTCTCTCCAGTCTGGAGTCGCGTTAACTATTTATTTCTGTTTCTACATCTTGCCACTTATTACACATATTTCGTAATGTGGTTTATTTTAGTGGCGCTGGATAAATAAGTAATTTTGCGGAATTTACATTGTTGTAGTCTTCATCAGGGTAAACAATTATTCAGATTATCGCGTTCTGTTGTGTTCCTATATGCAATAATTTTACCGCATTACGAAATTCCCATGAGCGATGCCAATTCACCAATTAACGAAACGTCATGCATACTAACAACAAACGGGCCCCTTCATTTTCAAACAATACGTTTTCCTTCCGTTAAAAATTTGAGGGTCTCAATTTTCATCATTACTCCGGAGTAAACAATGCTTATGTACAAAAACCTTAGTGTAAATGTTTTAGCATTTTATATTGTAATAATTGGTAAGTGGTTTATCAGCAGAAAAACAATTAGTCAAAAGCTTTTCTATATATCTAAGCTTGAGTAGGAAAATACTTTTTATATCTTACAAATCTGGTTTTAAATCATTTGCTAACCATCGTTAAACGGATGTTTTTCCATCTGTTCTTGTTTATGGGTAGTTTTATGATTCTTGTGATGGATATGCAGAAGTGGACTTTCATCTTTAATAGCTCACCAATTAACAAGTCCCATCACATTCCACAGACATGCAGAATTCCAGAATCCCACCATTATGTTTCCAGATATGCAGTCCGTGATATAACCACAGATCGTTAATTTTGCTTTCTTTTCCTCTCTATTAGTTTAGAGTTTTTCTCTATTAGTCATTAATCAAAACTAGTACAGAATCAAAAATGCTCAGGGTAAACATCTATAAAATTTTACTGGTACATCAGCCAAATATTTGACTGGTCCCAGGATGATGGTTATTGCTCTCTTTCTATTGGTCCTTTTTGTTGACTTAGTCTCTCTCTACAAAGTCCTTCTATACTTTCAGCCGGTAGAATATGCTACCAGTGCCCACCAGTTTCATTTTCACTTTGCTCTTTGTCACCATTCTTAATGGTAGCAGGCCCACAGGATAAATTCCTTCTCCGCTTATATATATAAGATGTGTTATGCATTAAACAGAAATGTTATGTAATTCATTTACACTGTGAGGAAAAAGCACCAATTTGTACCTTTGAGGGTACAATTACTTGTTACTGGGGCTGTACCCTCAAGGGTCTGCCAATTGTAGCCTCAGCTGTAGGTAAGTGTACCTTTTAGTCTAATTTAAGGTGCAGAAATGGACTCTGAGGAACATTTTTGTACCATTGGTGTACATTAATGTTGTTTGTACCTTAGGGAACAAATTCTATATCAGGGCTGTACTCCTTTTTTCTGACAGTATATTGTTGTGCACATTGCTCACATTGCTCATTTAATTATATATGCACTGTTGTGCTTATTTTGCTTAATCATAGGGGTAACAGCTGGGTGGCCCCGCTGCCTTTTAGTCCTGAGACAAATCCTTAACTTCTACTCTGACTGCTGCTAGAAAACATTTTGCTTCTGTAGCTCAGCTTTCAGTCTGCTTACTGCTCTCTCTCTCTCTCTCTCTCTCTCTCACTCTCTCTCTCTCTCTCTCTCTCTCTCTGTGGGTTAAGCTTATCTCTCTGACTCTAGCTTTGCAGCTCCATGAGTCCCAATTCCTGCTACTTTGACTGAATGTGCAAGTAGTTAGTACGTAAACATCATGAGGTGTCACTGGTAGGAATATTTCCCTTATTCTGTTTTCATTAATCACAGTAACCATATTTGATGTCTGTGCTCCTACTGTTGTAGGGGAGACCCTAACAGGAGCGACATCTGGGGAAACACCTCCCTGCACCACGCTGCTAGAAACGGTCACCTGCACATTGTGAGCTTCTTGGTGAGCTTCGGGGCCAACCTCTTCGCTCTGGACAATGACTTTCACACCGCCATGGATGTGGCTGCATCACGAGACCACATGGACTGCGTGCGTTTTCTAGATGACGCCGCCTCGCGACAGACCAGCCAGAACGCCAAGAAGGTGGCCTCTCTGAAGAAGCAAGCCACCAAGGAGGCAGAGAAGCGAGTGAAGATGTGTGAGGAGGTGAAGAAGAGGCACCAGAATAAGATGGACAAGATGCACCGAGGCTCGGTCTCGGAGGGCAGCGTAGGGTTCTCTGTCAGCACCGGCACCGTCGGCAGGGCTAACGAGCAGTTCTCCAAGCTGATCGCCTCAGACACTTCAGGATCCCTGACTGCCCGTGTCAAGGGAACCCTGCAGCGCAAGTTTGGCAGTAAGAAGGAAAAATCTGGCACAATACAGCAAGGTCATGGCAACGTTATTTTCGTCAAGCAGGAGAACGGCACAGCGGAGACGCCTGACTTTCTAGGCGTTTTCGCCGAGCAGGATGAAATCAATGATGAAGAAGGTGGAGATGGTGGAACAGAGGGATTTCAGGATGAAGAAGATAATGATGATTCTGGACAAACTAAAGAGTCCATATTCAGGAGACCTGGCCTAGGACAAATGGTCTTCAGGAAGAACTTTTCCATGGAGATGGGCCTGGAGCCAGAAGACTTCTCTAGCGGGACTTCAGAAGAAGTAGGCTTCCGGATCCGTGAGGAGCTCTTCCAGACCACAGTGGAGGAAGCCTTTGAGGAGGAAGTGGACAGCTCTGTGCCATGGAATGAGGATGACATCAACCTGGATGAGGAGGATGAGGAGACCTCACCATTGGCTGCCTTCTTGGCCTCCATCAACCTGGTGGACTTCGCCCCGGTGTTTACCCGCGAACAGCTGGACCTGCAGGCCCTCACACTCTGCTCAGATGATGACCTGAAGGGAATCCACATCCAGCTGGGCCCTCGCAAGAAGATCATGGAGGCTGTGGCTTGCAGGAAGGACGTCCTGAACAAAACGTGCATCATAAAGGACAGTCCGCTGTGAGTAGAGCGATGAGAAAGCTGACGTGACTGTAGCACGAAGTCGCACAGCAGACTGTTCCGCTGCTTCTCTTGGGAAACTCTCCTATTCATCTTGTGCTGTTTCTTTGCAATCAAAAAAATTCTCAGTAGTGTTATTAGGGGTCTTATATGGAAATATGAATCCCTGCTTATTCTGCAAATTTTTGATTTTGAAGCAACCAAAAATAAAAACAAAATAAAAAAAACTCATGTTTGAGTGACTGTGTAAATGCACCCAATTAATTCTCTGTGGCTGAACATATTCACTTGTTTTATAATTCCTTAGAAAAATAATAATAAATTATTATTGTTTCATTGTTTCATCTTATTAAATTGACGGTAAGTTAAGGTGTATGTATTATGTGCATTTTCTGATGAGAACAACCTTATATCTGCACTGTGCTTTTACTGTGTATTCAACTTTATGTTAATGACGTGAAAATACAATATAAATTAAGGAAGTAAACTGGTAAGTGTCGATAAAACCACATCGTCTGTTTCAGGCTGTTTGCTAATGAGCTGCTTTATTGAATGACTGCAGCGAGGCGGACGATTTGACAATGAGGGCTTGTTTGGCGAAATCATTAAACTGGGACCTAGTTTTGAGCCATTATCCTGGTCTGCTGGTTCTTTTGAGACAGCGGACATTGCAGAAACCTCAGTTACCTTCCGCCATGTAAAATCCCATGTCCATGTGTAGCCGTATTTTCACCCCAGTGAAACTGTGTTTCAATGAATGTATAAATGAACAGATTATCACTCAGCATATGACATCTTTCTGCAAATTTCATTGCATAATTACAGTGTGCAAAATTAATGCACCCTGTTAATTAGTACTTTGTGAGATATCCTTTGCCACATATCATAATTTCCAAACATACCTTTTAAATGTCATCATTTTTGCTTTTGAACTTCACGCTATTCTAGAACTACTATAGCTATTATTAAGTTCTCAGATCTGCAATAATTTTCAAGTCTGGAAATTGAAAGAGAAAATAATACCTCACATGCTATAAGATGAATTTACTGACACATTTTACATTAATGTATCTGCAATAAACAACCTCTTTTGAATTTCAGTTTCCTGGTTATGGGAGATTTGCTTATATTGTTTGCTGATCTCCGTTTATATCAATCCATCCTTACATGGGAAAAATATGTCCTATGTCGCACTGTTTTGCAAGCCAAAAAACATAAATTAATTCCCATGCTACGGTGCTTGGTAGCAGTTCACTTTCCATAAATCATATTCATAAGCATATCGATCTAAAAAGCTCCAGCTCTTGTACACAGCTTAGTAGCTTAGCACAGTGTTTAGACATGATCATAGAAGAGAGGTCATTATTATGTTAGAATCGGCTACACTTTTACCGGGATCTGTAATGGTTTTAATGGTAAACCTCGCGGGGTTTTTTTTAATACAAGCTCATTGACCACTCCAAGACACTAGGCGGCGACAGTGTTCACAAACATTGTCACTATATAAATCCGACAGGATTACATCAACGAAGAAGAGGAAGAGGTGGAGGAAAAGTAGTAGTAACCGTTGGAAGAATCCGAGTAGGGGGTGGAGGAGAAGAAAGATGAAATGTTGTCAACGGTAACCGATAAATAACATGACATTGGGTGTACGAAGTAACTCTTCGGATTGATCGGGAAATGCGGTAAGGGGAAGGCGACGAGAGCAGAGCCTGGTTTATGTGTTGTTGCGTGCATCGACTGCAGTTTCGGCACTTGGGGAAATGCAGGAAAAGTAGCGACATGGGCATGTGGATTGTGGATACGCCAGGGGCTTCGGACTAGCCAGTATTGTGCAAACAGCTGAGGCAAAGGTCGTTATGGCAAAGGCAATATGTTTTTTTATGTTGCATGTTACGGTACAACACATAATTAGGGCTGCAGAAAACCGATGATTAATTATAAATGATTAATTATATGTTCAGGCGATCAAGTAATAGATCAGTTGGGCCAAAGCGCATGGTATAATGCAAAGTGTAATTGCTTATTTTAGAAAAAAAAACATCTGGAGGTATTTTAAGTCACAGTTGTAATAAAGACTTTATACAGTGGAGCGCACCTTGTAGTGTGATAGTACACGAAGTCCACACGCCTGACACGCCTCGGTTTGGGTACAGCAGGGAAACTGAAATTAGGAACCGTTATAAACCAAACATGAGGCATTGTGTCTCAAACTGGTACAAAAAGTAATTTGTACGCGAAAATAAACGCAACAATAATGATGAACAAAATCCCGAATCTTTACTACTGAGTATGGTCTTACACCTGTGGCGATTAGACATTCCACTTTAGGCATATTGATTCAGGGAGGCCAATGAGGGACACACGGGAGGGGGTGGGTGCTGCTGGGCTTGGCCGGACTAATCCCCCCCGCTGGGGAAATGTCAGATTAGGGTTGGTTTCTAAAACACCGTCAAAACACCCTAACCGCAGTATATCTGAACAGTATAGCGGTATTAAAAATTAGACGCCGCAGTAAAACTTCTTGCCGGTTAATTTTACCGCCGCTAAATTGCGGAAAGACAATTTTCACTTTACAGAGGAAACCGCTGTCCACCCATATTTAGCGTGCTAACACTACATTAAGGGTCATAAGTGGTGATGTCATTATACGCAATTTACTCGGCAGACCACAAAAGTGCAACAAATCCAGGACAAAATTCCTTCAACTCAATTCAACTATTTATTTATTTGTTTGTTTGTTTTTACTGGTTATTGTTTCTGTTGCAATTTCGACTCCTACCGCTAGGGCGGGCACTGCTCCCCCCCCCACCCCACCGCCAAACAACGCGCATGGCGCCACCTAGGCTTCTACTGATTTGATGTTATATATTCATAAATATTAGATTGACAATAGGGGAGAAAAGAGAATTTTGAGTCTTACTCCTGCAAAAATGTGTTGACCTCCTACTTACATCTTTGCCATGTTCATTAAAGTATTCATTAGTCATCAGTTTTCCATTTAATTGTTATAAAAATATGGAAGTCCTTTGACACAACACTATAATCTTATATAGAGTACAGTGGCTATTTGTCAAGTTATTTTGACGATAAAATATGCACGAGCAGTAAGAATGTGTGAGTCACTGTTTTCATTTCAGGCGATTGCTCCCCTGTCCTCTGTGAAGACTGAAGATGGATGTTACCTCACCTGCAGCCCCCGTCTTGGCTTCTGCCTCGAGCCCTGGGGACCCAGGCCTACCCGGGACTCACCTGGACAGTGAGGACTATGTGTTTGTGGAAGCCAAGCATTCCAGTAAAGTGCTGGAGGGACTGAACAGCCTGCGACTCAACAAGGCCTTCTGTGATGTCACGCTGTGCTGCGGAGGTCAGGAGTTCCCCTGTCATCGCATCGTCCTGGCTTCCTTCAGCTCCTACTTTCAGGTAGACTGCGGAAGACTCGCCCGGGCGGCTGGCGTTACTCTGAGCCGCTGTGTGCGTAGGAGCTAGTTTGGCAGTACCGTCATTTTTGTTTTTCGGGGAACAAGATGCTGGGAAAGGTTGGGGGGTGGATTTCTGCCTTTTCAGTGATACAGGGTTAAGGTGTGGATGTTTCCCAGTTCTCCCAGTCCATTGATATAGGGATATGGTGTGATGCTTCCCAGTTCTCCCAGTCCAGTGATATAGGGTTAAGGTGTGGATGCTTCCCAGTTCTCCCAGTCCAGTGATATAGGGTTAAGGTGTGGATGCTTCCCAGTTCTCCCAGTCCAGTGATATAGGGTTAAGGTGTGGATGTTTCCCAGTTCTCCCAGTTCAGTGAGATAGGGTTAAATTATGGTTTCCCTTCCCAGGCCATGTTCTCCACCGACCTAATGGAGTCGAGACAGGATCGCGTGGCCATCAATGGGGTGGAGCCACAAATGATTGGCATGCTGGTGGACTATGCCTACACGGCCCAGGTGGTGATCTCCCGGGCCAATGTGCAGGCCCTGCTGGCGGCCGCCAACCTGCTGGACGTGCAGGCGGTGCGCGAGGCTTGCTGCGGCTTCATGGAGCGCCAGATGGACGAGGGCAACTGCGTGGGGATCCACTGCTTCGCCGAGGCGCACTCCTGCAGCCGGCTGGAGAAGTGTAGTATGGACTATATCCTGCAGCACTTCAGCGCCGTGTGCCACCAGGTAACCCAGGCTAATGCTCCTTAGCACGTCGCTAGGAGAGCCTGCGATGCCGGAGCCATAAGTGCAGCTGCTCTGATACAGGCCCTGAATAAGCAGCAGCTGTGGGTCATGCCTGATGTGTCGCACTCTGTGGGTGGGTGTGTGTCCGTCCAGGAGGAATTCCTATCCCTCTGTGCAGACAAGCTAACGGAAATCATCTCAAGCGACCACTTGAATGTGCCGAAGGAGGAGACCGTGTTTGAGGCGACCATGTTGTGGCTGAACAAGTGTGCCACCCGCAAGACGAGTTTCGAAAAGGTGAGCGGCAGCACTGACCCTCGGCCATCGCCGACCACCCGTAAGCGCTAACCAAGGCCGATAAGCGGCGACAGCCTCTGGCTTCATCACGTGTTCGTATGTGTTGATCATGTGACCTGCGATCACCTGACACAGGTGCTGGAGCACATTCGGCTGCCCCTAATGAGCCCCTACTACCTCCATGATGCGGTGGAGTCGCTCCCAGTGGTCCGAGAGTCCCTGCGGTGTCAGAGGCTAATCTCTGAGGCCAAAGACTACCTCCTGCTACAAGACCGTCGCGGAGAACTTTACAGCATGAGAGCCCGGCCTCGTCGGTCCACGGGTATGCACCTCCGGCTCGGCGACTGGTCTCGTCTCGTCTCGGCCCGTCTGCCGAGCTGCACGCAAAGGATAACCCCCGTCTGCTGGCCCACAGGGACGGCGGAGGTGATAGTGACTGTCGGGGGCGAGGATGACAAGGTGGTCCTCCGCAGTGTTGAAAGCTACGACCCCGTCACCAACCAGTGGAAGAGTCTGGCTTGCCTCCCCTTCGCTGTCAGCAAGCACGGTCTGGTGGCCTCGGGTGAGGATGCTCGCGGTCCGGCCATCTCCCCAGCGAGACCGATGCCCCCTGCTGACCGTCCCGCTCTGTCTCCAGGCTCCACGCTCTACCTGGCAGGGGGCGAGTTCCCCGACGGCTCGGCCAGCAGGGAGATGTGGCGCTACGACCCGTGCTTTGACTCCTGGCTGGAGATGGCTCCCATGAACGTGGCACGCTCTGAGCTGGGTGAGGGCTGCAGCTTCAGCTCCTGCTTGCCAAGGAGCGGATTGGTGTGTCGCCTCAATCACCTGATCTCGGCACTCATCTCTCGTTGGGCCTTGGCAGGATTTAGACTTTTCTTTCTGTGTAGATGCTCGTGACTCCAGGCAACATGGTCTCCATGGTGACACTCCCCCATCCCTCTCACCCACAGGCCTGGTCATGCTGGACGGCTTTGTGTTTGCCATTGGCGGCTGGGAGGGCCAGTCGAGGCTCGATTCGGTGGAATGTTATGACCCCCAGACTAATAGCTGGCAGTTCATGGAGTCTGTCAAGATGGCCGTCACCAGCCCGGCTGTGGTGGCCCTCGACGGGCTGCTCTATGTCACAGGTCGGCCATTGCCTTTTCGACAGTAGTAGCACAATGCTGTTTATTTGTTCGGTCGCACTAATTTTAATGGATTATCAGGGGGTGCCATCTTGGAGGATGGCGACGGCACGGACCTGACGCAGGTGTACAACCCTAAAACGTGCCTCTGGACCGAGGTGGCACCTATGCAGATCGCTCGCTCTGGGTCGGCCGCCTGCACGCTGAAGGGCAAGATCTACGTCATCGGTAAAGTCGGCAGGATCCACGGAGCATTCTTCTGTTTCTGATACGCTTGGGGAGTGTTTTGCACAATGCAGATGTTAGAGATACGAAGGGCATTACTGTCATGGTAGGACTGATTTGAGCACTTGCATGCAAATGTACTAATTGCGATAGCAGCATTCAGTTTGTTTAGTATGGTGAGAACATTAGCAGGACGTGCTAATTGTGATAGCTGCAATGTTAGCACTCTGTGCTGAATGTGATAATGGAGCGTTAGCACTGTACGCCAGCCAAGCTGGCAAAAACGTTAGCGCTGCGTGCTAAGCGTGATGACACCATTTGGCGAAGTCTACAGTCTCGTCTTTGGTTTTGCCGGCAGGGGGGTGGCATGCGTCCACCGAAAACACAGACAAGGTAGAGTACTATGATCCTCAGAGTAACCGGTGGACCATGTGTGCCCCGATGAAGGAGAGGCGCTACCGTCCAGGCGTGGCAGTGGTGGATGGCAAGATCTACGTGCTGGGTGGCGAAGAGGGTTGGGACAGGTGAGGGATGAGCAGGACGAATGATGCGTCCCATTTACCTCGGATGTTGGAAGTCGGAACTGAGGACGACGTCACACGCTATTTAAACGCGTTCCGGTACAGCAAGTTGTAAAGCCATTTAGCAATACCGGGTTTCAAAAAGCAAGATTTCTTGCTTAGCCGGATAACTTGTTACATTTAGCCCAGACTACCTTAAATCCGACAAGTTATCCGGCTATGCAAGAAATCCTGCTTTGTGGAACAGCCCTCTGCTTTCTGAAATAGGCCCCAATTCTAGCCTGGCTTTTTGTTATCAACTAATATTGCGAACAATGGCTAACACATTATGCAGTATTTTAAGCATAAAAACACCATAGCAACACATCCACAGATGGACGGTACTGTGTGTACGTCAAACTGCTGATTTAACGAGCCACAAAAGACATGCTAATGAACCTGTAGTTTTAATACCTTTAATACCCCCCCCCGCATCTCCACTCAGGTACCATGACACCATCGAGCGATACTGCGAGGAGACGGACACCTGGGAGATCGTGGGCGAGATGCCAACCAGCCGCAGCTGGCTCAGCTGTGCCTCGCTGCCTCTGAGGAAGGACGTGGGCGCTACCCGTCCAGACACGGCCCCCAACGCCACATTCTGTTTGGAATGAACGGCGCTCGGGCTGCAGCCAGAGCTGACCTCAGATCACCAGTCCCTTCCGCGGATCCTGCCCACGTGGACAGAGGGACACGCAGGTACTTCCTTGGTCCCAGCTCAGTCGTCCGACACCCGCAGACAGTCCACGTTTTTGTTACTCTCCCAGCGTGCCCGTATCAGGCATTTGGTGTTTCTGATTGGGAGGGAGCAAAAATGTGGACTGTCTGTGAGTCCCCAAGGACTGGGTTGGGAAACGCTGCCCAAGAGTGATATCCTGAACCAGGCGGGGGCTTGTGTGGAGCTCAGTCTTGCACTAATGTTCTGCCTAACATGGACTCTGAGGGGAGCGCCTCAGTCTGAGGAACCTTGTGTTGTATTGCAAATAATTTATTTTTAATGATTGTCATTAAGTGCAGCTCATTGATGGGGGGGGGGGGGCAGTAAAACAGGAAGAACTGTAGGTTTAAATTAGTTTGATTTGCTAGATGTCAACACACATCCAGGTAAACGTTTCTCTCCACATCACCGTACCCTTAGCCCACATCACCGTACCCTTAGCTCACATCACCGTACCCTTAGCTCATACAGTGGCACCTGATGTGAACACCATCCGGAGTCGTTTGCTTTTTTTTTAACATGCTGGCACATTGAGATCCATGCAGTGTGGAGCCTCTGTATTTAAGCTTTGAATGTTTATACGGTGTGACCGGCTCTCTCCTTTTCCAAAGAGGATTCCTTGGTAGTGTTTGTGCGGTATTAACGGTGACAATCTTCTTTAAGTGCTTTACAATAAAGTTTTACTGAGTCTGTATTGGGTACAAGGAGTTGGTGGTTAGCCTGTTTTTACATGTTGAAATGTATATTGAAGGAATAAAGGTGCTTTCTCCCTATACCTGGGAACTTGTTTTTGTCAACTGCACAAGTTGTGTTATTCATTTCAGTCTGATCAAATTCTGCAGAGGTTCAATTTATTACAAAAGACATAGGTTTTTAACCATGCCAAATTGATACTGTTTCTGCCATATATGCATAATCGTACATAGTAAATAAAGGACAGGACAAAGTTTTGAGCCATGGAAAAACTCACCAAAACAAGAATGGCCCTTACCAAGTAAAAATAAAAATCATTACTGACGAGTTTATCATACCACTATTTAAAGTATGACCGCTAATCCAAAATCCCTTCAAATGAAGCAGCAGCACAGTATCAACTACGCCAGTTCCAATAACATATCAAGCACCAGCAAGCCACCAGAGACATCAGACAAGCAGCCTCTCGATTGCCATCTGCACGGACTGGATCTGCGGTTTGAGCTGGGATCCCTCCTTGACGGTGACCGAGGTGGCGATGACGGGCCTGGAGACGCCGCACGCGCGACCCAGGGCTTGCTTGGATCGGACGAACACGTACGGCACATTCTTATCCTCGCACAATAACGGGAGGTGGAGTATGATCTCCAGAGGCTCGGCGTCCGCGGCCATCACGATGAACTCCGCGATGCCACGGTTCAGGGTTTTAGTGGCTGTGACAGGGAAAGACTGCTGTACATTTAGGCAGAACCAGCTGAGATATACCAAGTATATTAACAAGCTCTTCCACAAAGCTATATCTGCAGAGGTAAGTAATTAATAGCATAAAAGGGGAGGGAAAAGTGTAAAACTCTAAATACACCATTAACTAGAAGCAACTGTATAAAAAAAGAGATCCTCCTATACCAAACAACTGTATTCCTTGGTAAAGGACGGATTTTCCCTTCAAACATTTAAAGACACTTTCCAAATAGATACGACAAGCATACTGTGAATTCCGGGACAATGAAGGCAGAAAAAGCTTAAGTTTCTTACCCTCATTTGCCCCCTTCCTGAGCTGTTTATAATTGGACGCTTGCTGTACAAGATCCAGAATTGTTTTTGTCAAGGTAGCATCGGCAAGGGGGTAGGCCTTTGGGTTCACCTCCGGATCCGTCTGGGGAAAGTCAAAATTACGTAAGCATGCGCTCGTTTTGATGTTTTCCTATTATTTCTATAAATACGTTTGTCAAACTACTGCCCATGTCTCCAGCTCATTGAAGACAGACTAATTTTCCAACATTTATGTCAAAATGTCGTAGGACACCGTTAAGTGATACCCTAGATTTTCCATACCTTATGGCTATAATACAGACAGAATTGTTATGAACCGCTGAGTGTTTAAATTCAACCGCGTGGCAAAATCTGGATTTTCTTTAACACAAATAATCATTTTTAATCTAGCAGCATATATCACATTTTAGCAAACCTCCATTTGAATGAAACAGCGTGTAATCTGCCGGGTATACATACCAAGAAGCTAAATTAAACGTGTGCGCCACAATCAGTTACTTACCATATCTGCGGCGTAATAACAACGTCCCCTCGGCTTGTGCTTCACGGAGGACTCAGATTTAGATCGCTGATACCTAAAACAGCTCACTTTCACTGTCCCTAACTACAACGCGCCCGGCATGCCAGTGGAGTCTAACCGCAACCATACGTCATCTTTGGGCGCCCGATAGGAGGAATGTGATTGGTTGTCAATATTTATTTCAAATTACAGTACTTAAATGTCTTGCAGGACCTAGTTTACCTACTCCATGCAGCTGAGTAGTGTATTTGCCTTAAAAAAAAATGCGTGTTGGATGCCGTTATGTGCAACAATGTTTATTTTGCTGATACAGTATTAAAACCGGTGTTTCTCTCTCTGTGCATGCTGACATCTAGTGGCCAAAAATAAATCAGACATTTCTCACGAGCATTCACTTACATACGCCAGGTAGCAAAAGTTTACCAGAAGTTTACCCAAAATTTCCCACGGTTTTAAAAACACTGTTGGCTTAAAAGCAAGGGGTTTTGATTTGTGTGTGAAATTAAACTTACTTGAGCAGTTTTCATATCTGAAAAATATCGAATCCTTTTAATTCTAGTATTTAAATATTTGGTAATTTTAATGTATTTGACTCAATATACTTTATACATTTAAATAAGAACCACGTCTCAAATGTTATATCCATCGTAGATTTAAAAAAATAATAATAATAGCGAGTCACAAACAATGAATTGCAATTACATACAGGAATCAGATGTCTTCTGTCTTTTTTCATAATGAAATTTTGTAGAAGAATTTTACATCCAGACAACACTTGGTGTTCTACATCAATCCAAAAGCATTTAACAAGGAGTTAGAGGAGGGGTAAAAAAAAAGAGAGTCTCCCCACGTGGATCAATAAAGTATCCATTATTATAATAAAAAATAGTTATAAAATAAATGCGAAATTGTTTTAGTACAAATACTACAAAAAGCACAAGTTTCATATTTTTCATGTTTACATATTCTTAATTTTTTTTTGTAGGATGAATTGAGCGTAAACATTTAAACTGTATTTTTTTTACTTTTAATTTCCATCGTAGACGTGGAGAGACCAGTCCGCCCGTGACGTAACCGGATGTCCTCTCGGTTAAGGGGCGCAGTGCATGCTGGGGCGGAGGGCAGGTCGGCCATTATTAGCTTACCTTGCTGCTGAAGGAGATATAAGTCATGAAGGGGGTTCGGGGTCTCAGCCATTTCTCTGTAAGTGCTCACCTTCTTTAAGGATGTTTTCGTAGTTACTATAAGCTATTACTTATAGTGTCTTTCTATTAGTGAAGCGGTTTGTCTTAAATATCGGTGCTATTTGCAGCATTTCGGCCCTTCCTAAAGACGTCTTAAAACGTCCCTGGTAACTGCCGGCTGCGGACTGCAGAATGTTGTTAGTGCAGGTGTAAAATGGGTCCATATTAAAGAGTATTTTTGGTGGTTGCGGAGTGCATCCTTTATTATACGTATAGAGAATTTCTAAATGCTTTAGTACAGGTTTCGGAGGGTCCCAGTACGTTGAAGGTCATTGTGGAATTGCATACATTTCATACAAATCTTTTTATATGCTTTATAAGTTGGATAAAATAATTACATTTCACCACAATCTATGCCTGGATTACCGAGGTTCATCTAGCGTAATGAGTGGATATAAAAGCTGTCAATTCCGTGTAACAAAAGATTATCCCTTGATTGCAGCATAACTGCTATTATCCATGATATGTCTTTATTTGGCGATAAGCGTTGTGTGTTTCCAGCCGCGGCGCTGAACAGAATTAGGAATATGTTTTTGTCAGCAACCCATACGTAATGCTCTGGTTTTGTATTTACTGTGAGGGATGAAATCGGGTGTATGGCTTTTGGGAGCTTCCCTGAGCCTTAACGCCTTGTGTCCGTGCTGTGATTCCCAGAAACGGCTGTTTGCAGCCCAGGCTTCTGCTAAGCGTGACGCCTCCGAGCGACTAACCCTACATCCCCAAGAGGTCCAGGTCAGTGTTTCATTCCTGTTTTACTCCACAAGTGCGTGGACACGCTGCACACATCTGTATGTCTGTCCCAGTGCTGATAATTAACGATGTAGTACATCTTCTACTCATTGACTACGTTTACATATTGCACAAGCATCTGCGGTTCTAATTTATAGTGTTGTAGACCATTCAGAGGTGGCGTAGTTGCCTGTTTTACTTTCTGCACATTTTTGATGTGTTGAATACAGTTAATCGAGAGTCATTCAGTATTTTACTAACATTCTATGGTTTTGCAGAAATTTTAGTAATGGTAAGTCAAGGCAGTCAATACAGCATAGTGTGACTTTTATTTTGAAATGGAGACCCTTGTGAACATGACACAACGTGTCTGCTGGCCTGTAGGTGTCCAAGCTCCCCAATGGCCTTGTGATCGCCTCCCTAGAGAATTACTCTCCTGCCTCCAAGATCGGCGTGTTTGTGAAGGCGGGCAGCCGCTACGAGGGTGATAGTCACCTGGGTGTCACCCACCTGCTCCGCCTGGCTGCCAGTCTGGTAAGGGTAGGGCGCCGGCCCATGGAATGTTCCGGTGAAGCTCTTCTGTTTTCTGCTGTGTGTTGAAGAAAGGGCCAGACAGGGTTCACCTTTTCCATACTGTTTGTGTGCCGTAACTGTTTTAGTGAAGCAGTGCTTACTTCTGCTGTGCACAAGTCTTCCAGTTTACCATTGTAAGAAACTGAGCAGGTTGGCCTGATTGTTGGTGTCATGGTTTTTTGGCTTATGGATGTAACTTGTGCATGTCAAACACCTTCTAAATGCCTTGTGCCATAAGAAGCTGTGCGGCAGGTGCATGGATGTATGGATATGTCAGCACAGTCTGCTCCTTTGTCATTCCGCAACGTGATGATGGGGATGACTCCTACTGATCTCTTCCAGACCACCAAGGGGGCGTCGGCGTTCCGTATCTGCCGGGGCATTGAGGCCGTCGGGGGCAGCTTGAGGTGAGCAAACATTCCCCTAAAGCTTCCCTGTGTCACTGTTGCCATGTGTGTGGGCTTCCTAACGGCTCTGTGTACTTGGTCTTCACCGCAGCGTCACATCATCCCGGGAGAACATGGTCTACACTGTGGAGTGCCTGCGAGATCACGTGTGAGTGCTGCCTTCATCGCCAGCGGCGTTTGTACCTTCGGTTAGGGGCAGAGGCGGACTTTTCAGATCCAGAAAGTAAAAGTCCAGACCAAGATTTTGTTTCAGCCAACCAGTTGAGTACTCTGTGACTGTGACTCTTTATATTCAACTGGTTGGTTGAAACAAAATCCTGGTTTGGATTTTTACTTTCTGGACCTGAAATGACCTCTGGTTAGGGGTTTGAGTGACTTTTTTAGTTTGTCTTAGCCCCCTTATTAGCTGCACAGCATCAGCATCGATCTGTGTCAGTGGCAGTATGGTGTCATAGGTGCAAAGGGTAACATTCAGATGCCAGTTTTCTGATATCCCAGCACTTTCTATTCACGTTTCCCATCTTGATGTGGTATTTGTACGTTTCTGGACTAGCTAATCAATCAAGATAATTTGGGCAGCCTGAATTGCATTACCATGTGACCTTGACCCACCTAAACATTTAGAAGATGTTTGTATTATGTTACCATAGATTTTTCCTTAACTGGAAATACTTGTATAAGTGATGTGAAAAATGCGCAATTTCACTATTTATGTTCATATAGAATAACACCTAATGCACTTTGTACGGGATATTTTGTTTCTGACATATAAGATGTCTGAAGTGATTGATTGTGCCGGCCTTCTTGGATTGTAGCGAGCCACACACAGTGTCCAGTGGCTCTGTTCCCAGCAGCACTCTGCCGTGACGTGTCATTGCGGTCGTCTGCGTTTCAGCGACACCGTCATGGAGTACCTGATCAATGTGACCACGGCCCCGGAATTCCGTCCCTGGGAGGTGTCCGAACTCGCGGAGCGGGTGAAAGTTGACAAGGCCTTGGCCGGCCAGAGCCCCCAGATCGGTGAGCTCAGCCTTTCTGTTTGTTCTGTTTTAGTTTTGTTTCGCACGGTGAGCTGGTTACCGACGTCTCGCTTCTGTTTTCTGCTTTGGAGGCGTCATTGAGAAGCTTCATGCGGCCGCCTACAAGAACTCTCTCTCCAATTCCCTCTACTGCCCCGACTACCAGATGGGCCGCATCAGCTCCGAGCAGGTACGCCCCGAGTCGGCGTCAGTCTTGCCAGCTCTAGGGGCTACGGCAGGGAAGTAAATGGCCTCTGTTTCCTCTCCCCAGCTGCACTCCTTCATCCAGAGCAATTTCACCAGTGCCAGAATGGCTCTGGTCGGCTTAGGTAAGTGTGTCTGCCTGTGTGTGCATTATCCCTGTTCATCTTGCAGGCCTGTATCCAGAAATTAACTTTGGCGCTTTTAGGGGCAGGCAAATTTTGAGGGAGGTTCAGACTCATTAGTCTAGTACCGGGCGATGTGCCTGGTCGGAAGCAAGCAGATTTGGGGGTGTGTGTGCCGATGTCCTGACTTGCCTCTCACGCAGGGGTGGAGCACACCATGCTCAAGCAGGTGGGGGAGCAGTTCCTCAACGTGCGAAGTGGAACTGGGACTTCGAGCGCCAAGGCCCAGTACAAGGGAGGTGAGGCCTGGTATTTGGGTAGGGTGGGGGGTGCCCTGTGTCCGATCCCTACTGCAGAGTGTATATCTGGCTGGTGACCCCCCCATACGTGTGCAGGCGAACATCGGGAGCAGAACGGCGATGGTCTGGTCCATGCTGCCGTGGTGAGCGAGGGGGCGGTCATGGGCACGGCGGAGGCCGACGCCTTCAGCGTGCTGCAGCGGGTGCTAGGGGTGGGGCCTCACGTCAAAAGGGGCTCCGATGCCACCAGCAAGCTGAGCCAGGGCATCTCCAAGGCAACCACGCAGCCCTTCGACGTGAGTGACGTGGAGACTGACCCAGTGCATTGCGTTTAATGTGTGTGGGAGCCTCCTACCTCTGCGGCAAACCACAGGGGGGCGCTCTTTCCACAGTACTGTTTCAAATGTTGACAGTATAGAACTTAATTATTTCACTGCAGGCTTCTGCCTTCAATGCCAGCTACTCGGACTCTGGGCTGTTCGGGATTTACACCATCTCCCAGCATGGCGCAGCTGGCGATGTGAGTACGGGCACCAGTTAAAATGCAGGCCGGCTGTAAGCCTTCTCCCCCAACAGGCTAGGCGTACTTACGGCCATGTTCCTCACAGGTGATCAAGGCCGCCCTCGCCCAGGTTAAGGCCGTGGCCCAGGGCGGGCTGACTGCCGCTGACCTCACCAGGGCTAAGTAAGTCACATGATCTGTCACATGACGGCCTTCCCCAAAGTCGCACCAAATGTAAACACTTATGGAGTTGTACAATAGTGGTGATGGTTAGGCCTGATTGGCTGTGGGGTGGGTGGTGATTCAAAATATGTTTTTGTTGTGTGATGTACAGGAACCAGGTAAAGGCGGACTACCTGATGTCTCTGGAATCCTCGGACGGCCTCCTGGAGGAGATGGGGCTGCAGGGCCTCGTGGGTGGAGCCTACAGCCCACCTGAGGCGGTGCTGCAGAAGATCGATTCCATCACGTCGGATGCAGTGGCCAGCGTGAGTTCTCCCTCTTTACCTCCAGCCCGAATACCAGTGATGATCTCGACTTATTCCTGAATCTGTCGTTTTTTAAGCATGTTTAACCGTGGAAACCTCCTAAAATGCATTTAGTGGAATTCTTAACCTGAGAGAACTTATTTGGTAGGACTTAAGTCCATAGTTTGTATAACAGGCGCCCTCTAGTGGCAGCCTGGCTTCGCACCGTGTTGTTTGCCTGGATCCTTACCACTCATCACTCTGCTGTCTGCTGGGTGCTTCTTGGGCCGTGACTTGTGCTGCATGAACAGTGTTGTCCTCCAGGGGCGCTCATTGCTCAAATCCCATTGGTGGAGATGTGCTAATTTGTGCCCTTGTCACAGATAACAATTAGGCATTTGAAACAGAGAACATTGGCATGAGTGGAGTGAATTTAGCCTGAACTTATTTAGGCAGCAAATTGTTTTCTTTTTCCAGGCTGCAAAGAAGTTTGTAACCGGCAAGAAATCGATGGCCTGTAGTGGCCACTTGGTGAACACGCCGTTTTTGGATGAGCTGTGACGATAGACACCAGCTTCAGAGGCAGTCTGCGTTTCTTTATTGTTATTCTGGTGAAAGAAGAGCTTGGATGGCTTCCCAAAATAACCCGACTCCACGGAAATGAATGTTTTCATCCTCAGTCCAGAGTTTTTGTTCTGTATCGTGTCAGAACTGTATATCTGATGTATATTCATTAAAATATCGCAACTATATTGTCATCAACTTTCCTTTATTTAAAAGTGCCAGCAGACCTAACAGATGCCTGTAGTGAATTCTGTTTATAAGTGTAAGGAAATAGCTTGGTGTCCTTCAAAGGTCCTACGTGATTCTGGGTTCTGTTGCTGTGCATCTAACCCAGGGGTCTCTAACTCCGGTCCTGGAGAGCCTCTATCCAGTAGGTTTTCTGTCCCATTTGGCTTCTGATGAGCCACATCTGCTCCTGGTATTTACCTGAGAACAGGTGTGGCTCATCAGAAGCCGGGTAGGATAGAAAACCTACTGGACGGTAGCTCTCCAGGACCGGAGTTGGAGTTAGAGTAACTGACCAGGTTGTGATCTTAAAGCATTGTGAAAGAGAATAAGCTGTGTTTAAAGTCTGTGATTTAAATCAGCATTATGTCACTGCAATAGTCTAACAGAAGCTGCCTGCCGATTAATAGCACTGTCCGCTTTTGTTAGGGCCCGGTAAGTGAAAACGCGGTGAACGTGTGGTGCTTCTGCTGCAGTCCCCAGTGTAATGTGACGCGTCATCTTGCCCCATCATCAGCAAAATGACGTTGACAATGAAACGGCCAAAGAGCCAGACACAAAGCCTGAACAAGTATTTCAATAAAGCGTCATTTTGGAAATCCGTTTAGTTTTTAGACATTTTAAGACAAAAAAAATAGTTCAAACTGGTGTCAAAGGTGATACCTAGTAAAATAATGGAAATTCTAAATTAATACTTAGTTATCTACTACAATTAGTTAAATTCTGTGTACTACCTGTGATAGACCTAATTAAACCTGCTACTAATCATTTTATAATTTGTTTTTGTTTGTTTACGTTTAATTCATATTGCTGTCTAGAATTTTTATGCTCCAGTGTCGGTTCGCTTTGTTTTACTGCTAAATGTGTTTATCAGCTAATATTTCCTGTGCTATAAACGAAACCCACTTCCACGCTGCGGGCTGTGTTTGCATGCTCTCCCTGCGTCACACTCCAAGAGACATTAGGCTGATTGGCGTCGCTGAATGACCCGGAGTATATGTGCTACTGCTGGCTGTGGTCGACTCCAAGGGGATAAGCATTTCGAAGATGGATGGAAATAAGGAGTACTCCTCTAACCTCAGGTACGTTTTTAAATATGTCGGATTCTTTCTTGAAAGCACTGCATCATACCTGCTCCCGTCTGGAACAACTACAAAAAAAAAGTTATATTAACCATGTTCCGGAACAACACTAATTTTTTACGTATAGATATATATTTTAATTTCGTCTTACAAGAATTGTAAAGCTTAATTTTAGCTTTTAAATAAAATCTATTTTATGTTAATCTAAAAAATGTCATTTTGTACTGTCTTTTATTTTAGTTTTCGATAATGATGAGAGTTATGGGCACCATGGTATCGTGCGTTTGTGCATGAGATGAAGACAATTACTGTTAAGCAATTTGCGTCGATAGGCTTATATCATTGTATCATTTTACCCGTAGTGGGGGGCCGAAGGGTGGAGGGGCATCACAGCGCCCCCCGCCCCAGGAAAAACAACTTTGAATAACAGACTAACTCGCAAAATATTCGCAACAATTTAACTCCCCCCTCCGAGGCGGGACCCTTCGCCCCCGGTCGCATCCTGCCCTTCCCACGACATCTGCTCGAGCGTTGCGATCCTGAAATTCTCGCGAGACCAGACGCGCGCACCCCCCCTTCAATTCCTGCGCAGGCGGCTGCGTTACTAGTGTCATTCATTTATATTGGGCTTTTGCAAAGGGGAGCAGCAGACAGCCCAAATAGTTTGGTGTTTTTTGGAGACGGCAAGCATACAATTCGTCCTTTAGCTAAGATGGCGTTGTGTGCGGTATTTTCTGCAGGTAGATTGAACACGATCCCCTGCTAAATTAATGTGCGCGTAGCTTTGTGAATGATTCCAGATGCGATTCCAGGGGATAAAAAAGCAGCGTGAATAAGCAGGAAGGATGATTTCGCGTTGATGCATTTCATGGAGACACTACGTTGTTCATGTGATCCCGTTTTTGCCCATTTAACCAGGTGAAGAGTGTGCATGCGAATAGGTGCTGGACGCTGACACCAGGCCGCCGTCCGGCACGTTTAATCGCGGATAAATGCCGCTCTTCCCAGCGCCGAGCAGAACCTTATGGAAGCACAGCGGGCCGGACTTCACTGGGCCATCCGCTTGGTAACTCCGATTTCGGGCGCAGCGGCTGCTGCTCTTGCCCCCCGAAACGGAAACATGGGGCGACAGAGTTACAAGCCAGGGATGTGATTTCCGGAGTGAACCGTGACTTTTTTTTTTTTTTTAACCTTTTCTGCATGTAAATGGAGCTGGGGATTCTGTAGTCACACCGAAGGACGTAACTATATGTGGCGATAAAATGGAAGGATGACCCCCCCCCTTCCCAAGCAAGGTCTCCCAGTGGAGGGGGCGACACTGATGGACTGATAAACGTAAACAGTACATTCACCCAGATACTCATCTGGTACCCGCTTACTGAAGCCGGCGGGTAAAGGTACCCGTCCCCCGACCCGCAGACCCGCTCGCGAACGGCGGATATACGTGCGGCTCGGAGGCTCCCGCCGGCGCTTTGGGATGGATAAACTGACCATTATTTCAGGATGCCTTTTTCTGGCGGCTGATATTTTTGCGATTGCTAGTATTGCGAACCCAGATTGGATCAACACGGGGGAGTCGGCGGGTAAGTCGGCGCGATTTCCAAGCTCTGTTTCTGACCGTGGGGTCTTATTACTACAGATGGCGAGCCGCTTGCATTGAATCGGGCAGACTAGGCTGTTTGATCTTATAACGTCTCCCTTAGAGCTATTGTGTCCCGGCATCGATTTCTCAGATCTGTCCTTCACTTGGCTGTGCCCAGAACAAAGATATTATCCCAAGCGGTGACTGTGCAGCTGTGTTCTCACCATCATCGCGGTCTTTTGTCTGCCTTGTGTGCCGTCTGACGTTTGCACAGCTTGGCAAAAAAACATAGTTCAGCTTGGTTGTATCGGCGTAAAACTAGCCAAATATATTATCAAGATAACTGCAAAGATAAACGCATTCCTGACCATTAACGAGAGACAAAACGAAAAAGACGTTGTTGTAATCTAGTAGTTGGATATTTTGTAAACAAAAATGTTTCGCATAAAAGCGCTACATCCATTTACTTTTTAGCTCGTTTAACTAGTTGCACGGCTCCTGACATATTGCATTTTATGGGCTGCTTCATTTTTACCAATGTAAACATTAGCATGTGCGTGCTTAATTGGTTTTATTAGTTTTAATCATGACTCTTTTTAGGGTCTTGGGGTTTCATGAAGTCCTATGTAAGTCCATTTTAATGCTATTCGCTTTACAATATCAATACAAACATATGTGTATTTTACCTATAGTATAAACGTAACTCGTCTGTAGAATATACTGTTATCTAGCAGTTTGGGAATCTGTGAAATTATGCCTGGTGTGTTTAATGTGATGCTTGGTATGGTGTTATATTAGAAATAGGCTGTTTTTCCATCGTGGCCTGTTCGCATTTTCTCATAGATCTTAGTTATCCTCTCCATCTTACACCATGCAATCATAACACCGTTAACAGGAGCTTTTCGTGGCCCTGATGTCCATCTGCTCAGGTAGATTTGTTCAATGCATGCTTAGAAAATCGATTTATCCGAAACGTGTGCTTTCCACTGATCAAAAATACCACTGGAACAACATATAGTTCTTCCTGTCTGATTATTTACAATAGCCATCATGAAAAGCCGCACGTGTTTTATAACAGAATGGACGCTCTGCGAAAGATGACATGATCTTTCACAGTTTTCTGACGTTTTTGCCGTTTTCCCCAATTCCTAACAGAGTGACATCAAAGCACTCACAGTTTGCAAAACAAAATTCATTACTGATTTCGGCGCATTCGTTTCAGTGAAATTTCCTGCGGATAAAGAAATTCACACTCGGAGGGTGCTGAAAACTATCAACGACCATACTTCCTCTCAGTAAGCAAAACAATGAAAGACAGCTGTGGATTTTTAGCCTCGGTGCTGCCATTAGCACCTTAGTTTGGGGCACTTGGTAACGATAGCTGGAAGACTTCCTGCCAAAGATTTTGCTCTGAACTGTTTGCAGCCATCATAGTTCTCTCGCCACATTTCTTTCTTAAATGCCTTTGGCGGAGATGAAAGCAAACACAAGACAGCCGCACGCACATAAGAAAACGCACGCGATTTGAAAGGGATTATGGTGTAACTTGATGTGGTTGTCGCAGGGAAGTTAAAATGTCACGCAAATGTTTTGTTTATATAGACACACGATGCCAGATTGAAACATTTATGTCAGTGCAGGGTTATACAAAGGGCTTGCATTTTGTTTAAATGTGCATTACATTAAGGCATAATGCCTAATAATCTTTCTCCCAACGAAAAGGAGATACACCGAATTCAACGTGATCCCCATACAATGACTCTTGCATGTGTGTTTAATAGGCATATAGATGTGCATAGTTAATGATTAAAATAAAACTCTGCATTGTCAGTAAAACATCACATTATTTAGAGGGAGAAAGGGATTATTAATAGAGCATATTTGCCCTGTTTGGAAGTAGTAGAGTGTCAGATGTACTGCCTGTGGTTTTATTTCGCCACCAGCGAGAAATGTAGGATTTGTGCCATGTGGACAGAGTTTAATAATCAGCATAAGGTGCACCTGCTTAGGTTATTGTATTCCTCAGCCTGTTTGTAAGTCGCTTGGCTTCGGGGGAACAGATCACATCACACTGGTCGAGTCGCATAAATAATGTAATCGTTTTGATCTGGTTTCAGATAGGCTGGGATTTGAATGGGATTTTTTTTTCCCTCTTAGTTGTAATTTAAGAGGGACAAAGCGACTTTCTGGCATTATGTTTTCTTCCTGAGTAAGGGAGGGGGGGGGGGGTGTGACAGCCGGGACACCAGCAGACTCTTAGCTAGCACTTGGATCAGTGCCCCCAGAGACGGCATGGTTACAGGTTATAACCATTCATTATTTCGTCGGCAGTGGTGCAGCCATGTCATTGGTTGAATCATTGGTATCTCTCTCTCTCTCTCATTGGCTGAATCAAATAGGCACCCTATTTCCTTAGTATAATCTTATTAGCCTAATTTGTTTACTTATTACAAAACAGGCTGCTATGCTTAAAATGCTTCTCAGTCACAAACGTTAACAGAAAACCAGCAGCTCCGGGCATTAAAGGTGAATCCTTTGTGTTATGTTTGTACTCCCAGTCATTACGGTTGGTGCTGAACCAGGGTCAGGGGTCCCCCAAGTGATGCTTGTTGGCATTACGTCCCAAAGTCAAGCGATCGCATTGCTTAATGTCATCCTGCTGTCATCTCAAATGCATCAAACAATGAAAGTAACAGCCCTCAAAAGATCGCATTAAGTAACTAGAAAATGGTACAATAATTACATTGAGTTGGAGTGAAATGAAATCTTCTGTTGTCTGGTATAGATCTTTCCAGCTCTTAAAATTCTTCAGATAGCCGTTTGCATTATCTGCTAATGACCAGTGTCAAGATGAAAGCATTTTTCACTTGTTCTGTCTAGTGATTTTTGGTAGAAAGGCGTTCTAGTTCCAGGGGCTGACCTGTGATTGGTTCTCTGGTGGGTGATGCTGCTGGGTGTTTTAATGCTGAGCCCTGATTGGTTGACCAGAGTGATTAGTCAGTCGGCCCAATCATTGAGCGACTGGTGGAGTTGCAGGGGGCGGGGCAGAGGCCCAGCATGTGACGGGAATGGCTGTCTCTCTCCAGGTGCCCTGACGGTGGGACTGGTTCGTCAGTGCCAGACCATCCATGGCCGTGACCGCACCTGCATTCCCCCGCGGCTGCCCCCCGAATGGGTCACCACGCTCTTCTTCATCGTCATGGGCATCGTTTCGCTAACTGTCACCTGTGGCCTGTTGGTGGCGTCGCACTGGCACCGGGAGGCCACCAAGTACGCTCGCTGGATTGCTTTCACGGGAAGTAAGTGTCCTGCATACGTGGGCCTTTGTGTAGCCTGGATGGGAGTCTGAGGGCAGAACGAAAAATGATTGGTTATCTCTCTGGACCAATCAGATTATAGAGAAGGTGGGACTGAACAACTAGAGGAGGCAGGACTAGCCAATCAGATGTCTTGGTCCCGCCTCCTCTAGTTGCCTGGACCCACCTTCTCTACACTCTGGTTATCTCCCCGAGTGTCTCTGGGTCTTCCAGTCCTGAGTTTGGCTGGGACTAATGACAGTGCTTTGAGGTAATGGCATATAGGAATGTGTGAAGCATCCATTGTCACAGATAGCAAGTCCCAGCCAATGGCTCTGCAACACTGGTGAGTCCATTTAGAAGGAGACACAATGAAATGCATTCGCTTTGACGGAAGTGTTTTGTTAGATGGGTCTTAGATATTTTGATGAGTCATTGTGTATGTATGTCTGCATTAGTGCAAGTAATTGTCCATTTTTTTAGACTTTTATGAGATTGTCGCCTTAGCAACAAGATCCTCTGTTTCATAGGCTCTTCCCTGATCGCATTCCTCCTCGAAATGTGACCAACACGATCTTCCCTACTTCCACAGTGGTGCTCTTCTGCATGGCGGCCCTGATCTTCCCCATCGGATTCTACATCAGCGAGGTGGGGGGGCAGCCTTACAAGCTGCCGAACAACACGGTGGTGGGCTCCTCGTACGTCCTCTTCGTGCTCTCCATCTTCTTCACCATCGTGGGACTGCTCTTCGCTGGGAAAGTCTGCCTGCCTGGCTGATTGACTGTGTCTCTTTGCCGTCTGGCACCAGAGAGAGATCGAATCTGGCTGGAGCACGGGTGTGGATTGGGGGGGCGGTTTGGGGGGAGAGTTTGCTGGTCACCCAGAAATAACAAATTAACGAGCCAAATGCGGATGAAGGACATCTGGCTATAAGCGTTCCTCCCTGTGCTTTTTTTAAAAGCCTGCACTCGCTTGTCATGTGTCCCCGGGGGTTTGGCACGGCCCTGAAAGGGGCGCCGTCTCTGTGAAGGCCACCTCCACCACACTCCGTAATGTCCCTTTATTTTTTTTTTTGTCCGTTCACAGAGCTGTTATGAAGCCTGGAGTCTCAAGATCAGGTCCAACAGGAATCGCTCTGGGTGTGGGGGGAGGTTTGGTCAGTGTTCTGGCCCCCGGGGAGGGGGGGGTAGGGCGTTGGAGAATGCCAGGCACATGCGACAGCGTAAGAGTAGTGGGCGTGGCTTTCATAACCTCTGCTTCCCGATTTCCCACCTCTTCTGGGTTCTTCCGTGGTGCAGCTGTTCTGGGGTCAGTGAAAGTACACAGGGTGCTACTCTGGGCTGGACTATGTCGGCACTCAAACGTTCTAGGTTTTCCGGGCCTGAAAAGGAGATCCGGCAGTGGACGTGAATGGAACCGACAGCTTTGTGTAAAGGACTACGGGTCCAGTTTAAACGAGCAGGCTTATTGAAAATAAGCTCTCTATACCGACTGGCCTGCTTCTAGTTCTCCAAAGCAAACGGACTCACCCTAACCCCCTCCCAGCTGTTGTAGGTGTAATGGGGAAGTCTTTAATCTCCTATTTTTTTTTTTTGTTTGATCAACATGAATACCTCTTTTCTTTTTTAAAATCTCAATATATCATTGATTTCAAAATCCAGAGCCCTTTATTTTTTTGTTATTGATTTGCTGTTGTGCCATGACTTGTTTAATATTGTAAAGAGAACACCAGTTTCTGTATAGCTGTGTTTTTGAGAAACCGTTGGGCATTGACTTCTTGAAGCCGACTGCAGAATCAGCACCGCAAACGCATTTTAAAAGTTTACCTCATTGTGATTGAAACTTATTTTCTTTTTCTTTTTTCTTTTTTCCCTCCTCATGGTTGCTTATTCTTTGACGAATCCTCACACCACAGGAAGTTTGGGGGCAGTTCAATGAGTTATTTCTGTTCCGAGAGATTAAAAGGACGTAATTAAACTAAATGAATTTTCTCCTCACCGCAGCCGTTCTATCACTTCTGCTTTGGCAAACGTCAGCTTCCCTTTAGCTTACATGACACAGGGACATGCATACTTAACTAATAAATGCGTCCTTAATTCGAAATTATTTTTTGTTGATACATTGTACGTATGAAAGGTTTAACTTAACATTATTCTATTCAAAATTATTTATTTGCATTTTAAACTGTAGACGATTTTGGAATCTTTTCCCCATTCCTACATGTTTGATCGTTTTCATTCAAGCAGTAACTCGATATGACGCCTTGTGAAAGTTCAAGATCAATTATGTAAATTGCGAATGTTTCGGGGCAGCCTGTATGAATGTAAAATATTATGTAAGCTTGATACATGTCGCAAACATCCTTATTCATAGACTTCAGCTGAGCTAAAACCAGTTGGTAGATTTTGGTTTCTTTGCAGGGAGAGCAATTTGTGTCATAGATGTAGAAAATCCTGCTTGGACCTTGACTTCACTATAGCCTCCTTTCAGGGAAGAACAAACAATAATGTTTTTGCTTCTGATGAGCCAGTTCTACAAATGACAGTGTTTTCATGCACATGGCAATTTTTTTTCTGCATCCCTCAATGATATTCAAATCAATGTTCGTTTTTTTTGTAGCTGAATTGGAAACACGACATTCTTATACAGTACAGATAGTAGCACAACTAGTTTGTTTCTGTGAAAATGTAAGAAAGGCGTCTTAAGTAGCAGACCTGGTTATTTTGTGGCGCTTAGGTAGTTATATAATTTCTGTAAGTTATTATTTTTTAAAATCTAGTACCTAAAAAACATCAACTATGCAAAAATACAGCAATGCAAATTTTATCATTAATGGAACTGTGAAGTCTTCATACAGCAATTGGTGCATCTGGTAAATTGCTCCCGTCACCACGTTACAAAAAGGCTTTAGGTCAGAACTGGCCCTTAAATTCTCATCTGAAACATAATCATTTTCTCTCTTTAGCTTTGTTTTTTTCTTCTTCTTTGGTTTATATTGTTTTGTTCAGTGAAGCCACATTCCAGTCCGTGAAGCCCCGAGTATTTGGTGCAAGAAGGATTTCGGTGTTTTGGCTTTGGTAGTGCTGCACTGCGACTGTGAGCGCGTACATGCTGCACGGTCCCCTGTATGCTGCACTGTGACTGTGAGCGCGTACATGCTGCACGGCCCCCTGTATGCTGCACTGTGACTGTGAGCGCGTACATGCTGCACGGCCCCCTGTATGCTGCACTGTGACTGTGAGCGCGTACATGCTGCACTGTGACTGTGAGCACGTACATGCTGCACGGCCCCCTGTATGCTGCACTGTTTTCAGAATGTTGTGGTTCACTTTGCACAAAGTGAAAGAAAACAATCTTGTTTGGTTTCTATTTACTGTGTTATTGTTAATTATATGTTCGCCATAGAACTGATTATGTTACTTTAACAAATAAACTATTTATTAATTTAAGAATCTTTTCTTATGTTGGGTAAGACAAGTGTTGGAGACCGTCGTGTCTATATTGTATGAAGACTCGCCTGTCATGTCTAATAATGATGGTCTAGAATTAAACTACGGTATTACTGCTCTCATTGAACAATTGTTAGACTAATCAGGGATCAGACCACCCGACGAAAAGTGAAAGGGTCGTCTCTACCATGAGACGGAAATGAATCCACAATGGGAAACAGCCACGGCCAGATTTCTTTTGCTTCATTTTCCTAAGCGCCATCCCTCATAACTGTTCCATTTTGAAACTTGCGCGGCAATAAAATGGTTTAACAGGAATAATTAAGTGGCGTTGTAAGAATTTGTTGTTGCTGTCAAAGACTAGCTTACCGTATTATACTGTATTTGCTTTGCACTGTTAATTATTTTCAGCTCAAAAAAATCATGAAGCTATTTAAGTTTATTGGTAGTCACCAGTGAACGTTCTCATAGCATAGTTCGGACGATTCATATATTTTGCTTTCAATCTGTTGCTTTGATTTTCACCTACAAATTAGTAATATTATTGAAGTGGCATTAATACTGGGGGAGAATTGCATGTGATTTTAACAGGGCTAAACTGTACGGATTTCATTTCACAAGAATTGAGCATTTTATTTAAACTGCTGCTGTAGGACTTCGAAAGAATAAAAATGCTGCCATTAGTAACAGTAAACGTGTATTCCATTTATTCTGCAAAGTTAACGTACCTTATTGTATTCCCTGGTCTGCCTGGTTTTGGGACTGGTCTGCCCCCGCGACAAACACTTTCTGGTTAACGCAATAACTCAAAAAGTATTTCATCGATCAGTTTCACACTGCAGACAGTTCTATGTGTGACAAACTGGAACTGATCAAATATTAAGACATCGCCCCAAAAACGCATATTATTCCATGCCTATCCAGTCAACAACTGAATGGAAGATGAGAGGTGCATTGCTGTCTGTTAGTGAGGCAGGACATGTTTTGCTTCACTGACATTCCTTGTATCAGGATAAAGGTGGTGGATGGAAATGCTCGTTATGATGATAAATTGAGATTCAAATATATTCAGATATTGGAGATAAATGTTATTCCTTTTTTGTTAGGTTCTGCTGGACCTGTTGTGTCACTGAAACCTGTACGGATCATTTTATTTCCATAAACAATCTACTCACTCAGAGCACCACAAAGTAACGTGATGTGTTTCCTTACTTAAAGTATGTTGCCATCTGAAAATGGGTTGTACATACTACAAGAAATCATAGTGCCCTGAATGCTTGTAGCACTGCAATATTTTTGCATGCGCAGTTTGGCTTGGTTCAGATAGGGGTAGAAGAAACGGTGAGGGTCAGTTTGGATAAAACTACTAAACGAAAACGAAAGTAGACGAAAGGAATAAATAGGAATGCTCAGCCTCTATGTATCTGAGACAGAGGTTACAAACGTTAAGCTTCATCATTATCACCACGAACACATTCAATAACAGCAGGCCGGCTGCATCACCCTCAGCTGCAGTTCCAGCAGCAGAATTCACACCCGCGCCCCGGAGACCATCCCATAATGTAGGCCTACAGGACGGGGCAACCGCCCTGATATGTTACTTTTGTACAATAAAAGAATCCTCAAAAAAAACAAACGAATGCTGTTATTTACGGTGTATACACAGGATTAGCAACAATAAGCAAAAACAGTGTTTACAAATCAGTCCTTCACTTACAGTACATCGGTGCCTTGTCCACAAAGCCACATAGAATATTTGTGAACAAGTGAGTTTATCCTCCATGGTCGCTGGACCTGTTCGGAATGGTTAAACTTGTGTCACTTATCTTTGGGTCGAGAACACATTAAGAGCGCTCATAACTGGAAATACTAGGAGAAGCACCGTTTCATCGGGTGGGTTTAAAAATGCATCATATTCCATAACTATCCAGTCAACTACTAAACCGAAGGTGATGAAAAATACTAAGTCTATTTGCTTAGTAAAGCAGATTATGTATCAGAGAAATAAGTATCAGAGAACAATATCCCAGATATTTTACAGGGAGTATCATTTGTAGAGACTTGTCAGACTAATTTTACAACCAAACCATAGCAACATGGTGATTTAGTAAAACATGAATATTTATAGCACGAAATCAGCCCAAGTTTGAACCCTGACTGAAAAGTGGAGCTCTGGCGCCCACTGCAGGCGGCAATCAAAACTTAAATCTCATCAAAAAAATGTCATCTGTGTGCTGGCCGTCCACTTCGCCTAAAACATTGAACAAAAATGTAAATAACAGGATATAATTAGAATATTTAAGAAATACTACGCCACAACTGAAATACACCAGTATAATTTTTAAACGCCCTAATGTAAAGTAACTACGACTGTGAGACACGGATATACATTTTTAATATTATTTTTTCTCGGCATGAAGCACTTTTCTGCTTTGTGATAGGACGATTCTTATTTAGGCCTACATTTACTGTTATTTCTCTTAAAATAACCTCTGAAGGAAGATATTTGGTAATAAACGATTACATGAAGGTCCTGTTATTCTTGTAACACTATTGACATTAAGGTCTTGCGCAGAACAACGTACAATCTACATCAATAGACTGAGAATAATGTCACTTATTTATCGACTTTAGTAGATTAATTTATTATAATTTTAAATCTATAACATAGGGCTTGGCCTGTTTCCCTGGTGACGCCAAACAGACGAAGGTTTTCATCTTCGGCTTTGCACGGTGAACTTCGGTAGTAACGGCAACTCGATCTGATCTAGTTTTCTTAAGAATGAAAACGTGAGTAACTGAAGAACTGGAAACAATGAGAATATAAAAAAATCAGAACGAGAATATAAAAACATTTTCGACTCAGTAAGTATTACCAATGCAACAAAATGTTTACTGACAAGTTACTCAAGTAGACTTATAGCAACAGTCGTACGAGAAGTGTGCGTAGTCCCTTGTAACTTAATTGTTGTTCATTGTTAATGATAATTTCATCTGCAGTTTTACGTTAGTTTCCAGTTAAATCCACCGGAGAAAGATTACGCACTATTTTATAGACCACGAATTATGTGTGATGGTTGTATATGTTTAGACTGATTCCAGTATTTTTTTCTAATGATATTTTATATCAAATTTATTTGTAATCCTTAACCATGAAAAATCAAGACATTAATTAGGGAATAAGTAGTCCAGCAGTTTCTTACGAAAATCATTTTAAGGGACAACAATAAATCGCCATTTTTAACGTCATTTTTTAATGACTAGTGCAACTCAGTCCGCAACAATTAATTGAATTCCAACATGAAATCAATCCAAATGAAAATGTAATTTGGATTAAATACAAGGTGAGCTTGTGCCCATTTATCGAATCATTATAAAATGGAGACATTATACGTACGTTTATCCTTTTTGCAGACCACGTGATGCCGAGGTCTTTACTTTGACCATGGCGCAGGATGTGGACAGTGACCCCCAATGCACCACAAACCTGTGAGTATACAGTCCACATAGTCGTGGCTAGAACCCTAGAAGTGCTGGATATACTAACACTAAAAGAACGTTTCGATGTGCTGGTATTTAAATGCACATTCCTAGTATAACTGAATGTTTATTTAAGCATGCAGAAACAGAAAGGATGTAAAAGGGGGCTGATGCACAAACAAAGAGCCTGATGTTGCTTCTGAACTGGCAGTTTAATGCAGCCCTCAGATGGCAACAAACAGCAGGGCAGACGGTCCCTGGGGAGAAGGTGGGAGACAGCTCCGTGCTCATTGGACAGCAGGCCGCTCCTCACAGCTGTCAATCACACTGACAACCAACCGGTGAGCTCTTCAGTCTCCTTAAGGACAAGCTGCCATTTTGCAGTCGTGCAGTATGAGACTATGTGTAGGGTGTACATTTCTCATCATATTAATGCATGAGAATAAGAGTGTGGATTTTACACCACTTTATAATAAGCTGCTTTATTATCAGAGTGGAGTCCTGTTGCTTACCTGGATTAAATTCCCAACAGATTTCTGCGAAATTAGACACTTTATCCATGTCCTGCCTGCTTCCCAAACTGCCCAATCACAACACACCTCTCAATATAAAGAACCCCAACTTCCTGCCCAGAACATCAGCAGACTGGCTGAAAATCAATGGACTGAACGGTAACCCTTCCGTCCTTCTGCCACGGTTCTTCCCTAGAGTGGAGACGATTGGCCTTTGCACAATGCGACATCAATCCTGCAAGTTTTAAAGAATCATTGAGAGGCAGTGCAAAAGCTCAGAGGTTCAGAGAGTACAAATCCAGACCAAGATTTTGTTTCAACCAACCAGTTGAGTATAAAGAGCTGCAGTCACAGAGTACTCAACTCATTGGTTGGAACAAAATCTTGGTCTGGATTTGTACTTTCCATCTCTATATTAAATCCTATAAAACCTGCAAGATCCAACATATCTGGTTAAGAATATTGGTGTGGGAACCCCGCTCATCCCTGGCTTTAGCATTTTACCCCAATCTGGTGAACTGAGGTGTGGATTTGAGCTGTTTCTCATACTCAGCCAAGGGCCTGGACCTCTACCAAGTCCTGTCTCCAAACTCATACTTGTTTACATCCCAATCTGGGCCCATTCAAAGGAAGACTATCACCTCCACAGTGAATGAGGTACGTTTCCTTTGTCACGTAGCAAACTTGCTTAACTAAGACCTATTCTACAGTTCTGAATTTTTTTTCAATGCTATTTAAATTCAAAAAACTTTATTTATAATTTATTTGGGGCAATTTAAAAGGCATAGAGGAGCAGCGCACACGCATAACAGTTGTAACATTTGACACAACAGATGACACACAATAGACACACAATGAACTATGAACAATAATAAATAAATGACTTTAAATAGAGACAATAAGGTGCATGATATTGAAAGTGAAAAAATTAGCAATGATTGCAATGATTTTTTAATAGATCCTTTATAAGGACATATAACACTCAGGATCTGTGGGACATTTTTTGTGTGGCTGTGGTACTCATGTTTCTCTTGGCCTCTTACTTCCCTGCCACCAGGGGGAGATGGTAGAGTTTGAGTGGCACGACGGCTCAATGAGAAACGTGCAAGTGGACCTGCCATTTCTGCAGAGCTATCAGGTGGCTGAAGTGTGAGCTGTATGTGCGAATGCTGTGAGTGTGACACCGGACAGGCCGGATTTATCGCTGTAGCTGTGTGTCTGTCTCCGCAGGAGCACGTGCATGAGGCAGTGCGTAGGCTGCAGGAGAGGCTTCTCTGGCTGAACACTGGAAGCCGGCGGGTTTGGGGGATGCTGTGTGAGCCCAGGCAAGTGCCGATAGTCACCAGTACACCAAACACTGTGAATTAGCACTCAGGTGGAAAATTCAGGTCCAGAAAGTAAAAAATACAGACCAAGATTTTGTTTCAACCAACCAGTTGAGTACTCTGTGACTGTGACTCCTTATACTTAACTGGTTGGCCGAAACAAAATCTTGGTCTGGATTTTTACTTTCGGGACCTGAACTATTCATCCCTGTATAGCACTAGTATGAAGTACCAGCTTGTTTAATATTTGGTTTCTACCTGAAAAGTGTGCTACTTTAGGGTGATACTCATGGGTTAGGGTTTGGGTTAGGGTTAGGGTTTGGGTTAGGGTTAGGGTTTGGGCCTCCAACCCAAACCTCCACACCACTCCCCCCCAC